ATTTTTCTACTTTATTAAAATATACCGCTATTAATAGTGTGTTTGCAACTATGTTGCCCTCAAAATAATACTGTAATGAATTAATTTTCCACAATTATGGTAAAAAAAAATTAACAATCTAGTTAAGTGGATGAGTGTCAAATATTATTGAGAAGCAAAAATATTGCAAATAGATTTTTTTCCCGATATAATATTTATTTTAGGCACCTCGAAATATTGTGAAAAATAACTTTTTTTTTTTTTGTTCTTTTGTGAGAAAGGGTTATGGGGGTTATGTTTATTTTGTGATCCTACATTGACATGAATTGTTAATGCTTGTTAACTTAAGCCATGTTTACAAGATGATTATAATACACATGGTACATTTGTGTTCTATTCAACATTAAAACCATTCATTACCATAGGGCGAATTATAAGCATTAAAAAGGCAATCCCCTTACTGGTAACGAACACGTTTTGGGCGTTTAGGGGAAAAGTATAAAGTGGAATTTTTGTAAATACAAACAATGCAATCTTCATTGCAATTGTTGTGGGCAATATAATGTGTGCCTAAAATGTGCAATTAAATTACTAAATACAATGTTCATATATATATATGTTTCCATTATATGAATCTGTGCTTACCCAGATCTAAATGTAACATGAAGAGATAAATACTGTAAATTGTGCTAATTATTCATATTTGGAAAGAGTGTGCAATTTTGTTAGGAGTGTAGCAATATATTTGTTTCTTGAGTTCTAAACTGTTAGATGCATGTTGCATCAATAGGATAATTGTATTAGGGTAGTATAATAGCATGTATAGTATTAAAGACAATAAGCTTCTGGCACGTTACAGTATCTACATTATAAACATTTTTGACTTACTCGGTTATTGACACAAGAGAGCAGTGCTTAAAACATTTAAGTATTAAAATTGTCTTGAATGGTATTTATCACACTAACTTGCAATTTTGTTAAATGGAAATACTGTGTAAATAAATTTGTATAATGTTTCTGTTTATCATTAGTCTCTTGTGTTGATGGGGTGAGACAACACTTGTCCGGAGAAGTACAAGATGGAGGATATTTGTGACATACTAAGCATTATTTTATGTAGGTATATAAATTAGGAGGAGATGAATCCTGCCGCCAGGGAGACTGCGGGGTCAAATAATGTGGATTTGTAATATCCCAATATATAAGTATTGTACAGTACTGTATTGAAGGTCTCCAAATATTGCACGCACAACAGATTAAAAACAAAATTGTTACAGTACTGGTATGACCAGAAGTATTAGACTAATAATTCTGGCATGAATCTTATCTAAATTTTGTTTAGCCCCGTTGGCAAGGTGAATGGTTGTTGTGTGCGGCCTGCAGGTAGCTGGTGGTGGCTCTTGCTCCCCTCTCCAGCCTACTGTGATGGTGCATAAGTGAACAGCATTCTGTGTTAGCTAAGCATGGCTACTTGTATATTCCCCTATTTTTCTTCATCTGGTAGTTAAGCCTACCCAGCAGCTGCAGCCCCTGAGGGACATGCCTTTTTGGTGAGTTGACCAGGGTAAAAGGAAGGTTCAGTGTGGAACACCTGAATCAATCGGTGTAGAAAATTGTCGGGTTAGACATTGGGTCAAGTGGGTATTGCGGGGATGGTGTCCCTAGTGGTGCCTGGGATACCGTTTGGCCCTTCAGTGGCGACCCCGCATACAGTACACTGTTCGGGTTGCCTCTGAGGTTACTTGCCAATATGCTTATGCCTTCCCTTGTTGGGTGGGGGTGCAGGGTAGCAAAGTCTAATTCTCCTTCTCAGGCTCTCAGGGTGTGCGACCAGGTCACAGAGTTGGACTGTGTTGGAAGAGCAGGCTCTAGCTATGGTAGGTTCACACCAGGCTCTGACTTTGGCCACCCTTTGGATCCTTTTCCTTCTCAAACCTCTTTCTTGGCAGGGTTGACCTCAGAGCTTCGGTGGCGATTTCCACATCACCTGGAGTGACTCGAACTTTGATGATTTGACTCACTTTTCCCCCTTCCTTCCGATAGGTCTGAGGTGATGTCCTCGGCACCGAGTCCACAGGTTTTCTGCAAACAGCTGCTTCATTCCAGGACCTGTTTGTTTCCTCTGTGGTCCAAATATTTTGATGCCTACCATAATGGCCGTGTCTGTCCTGATGATTTGCACGCACGCACACACAGACTAGGTGAGTACAGACACTTATAACTTTCTCCCCCCCCTCCCTTCCCCCATGTTAAGACAGGACTGAGAACCTGTCATGAGGATATTAAATATATCCTCAAGGCCCAAATTTATCGTCTTCCCAATTAACACGTTCACAAGACCTCCTCGTGATCATCATCATCATTCTCTTAAGGTAGTAAAGGTAACTTATGATAGTTGGACCCTCCCATCTTGGGTAATTCTTGTTGGTACCTAGTGCTCTGTTCTAGAATATGTTCTCTCTCCACACCTTTGCAATAGATTAGAAATTTGGGCAGGGAACCTTAAAATGTAGTACACAGTGAGGTGTCTTTTCGCATCTGCTCTCCCCTGCATGTCATCATTCCTGTCCCTCCCCGACACCACCACTTCCTTGCAGGACCTTGTTTACTCACCAATGCTCCTAGCCCCAACCTGTTCTACTGGCTTTACCTATGCTCTCCCAATCCTGATTTCTTTGATCCTAATCTTACCTAGTTCTGTGCCATTCTTTGCCTTTTATCTTTACTTTTTTTACTTTGCTGTTCTCTCCCACCACCATTCATGCATCTCTTTATAGTACGTCCCAGTTTTTTAAATTTGTCTTCCTTGCCTATTGTATTCTAGGGGTAATTTCTCCCTCGTTAGAATCCTCGGCAAGTCCAATACTTTTGCTGTCGCTCGCCTTCTGACATTTATTTCATATTGGCATCTCCAGTGATATTTAGTCCCTTTTACATATCCAGCAACACAGACGATGGCCACGTAGTTTTCCCAGCTTGGCATTTATTTTTTTAATTACATTTCATAGGCTCTTCATCTGGGAAGAAATTTAAATAACTCCATTAGTTAATTTTACAATTTCCTTACAAAGTGAAAAACATCTTAAGAAATACTGTATACAGAACATTTGTAATGGACTCATTGATCTAACCCTTCTGGTCATACCCAAGAATGCAAGTCTACAGGAACAACTTGCTTCTAAAATATACTACTGTTTTATATATTTTTTTCCTTCACACACGGTGAATGGTATCCCTTTTGGGACCAATTTACTATACACAAGTGTAAAGCATTCCTCCTTTACTTACTTTCAAGTTCTGTTAATTAAAACTTCCCATATTACATGCAAACCAAAATAATTAAAATCTGCAGTACAAACAAAATGACATACTGTATTTACGTTTCTAAAAACCACAATGTATTTACCATGCTATGTTAGCTGTGTGATCCACTTTTACACGTTTTTACTCATTTGGTTCGAATGCGAGATTATGTAACTCAAATGCAACAGAACTTCAATGTCAAGTGTTAGTAGGAATTGCTTACGTAACGTAACAATTCAGTATAATAGTACAGCATTGTTGTTTTTAAGAGTTTGGTTTACTCTGAATAAAGTGTTTTAAAAAAAGCTTTGTTTTAAATATACCACAGGAAAATTACACATCAAAATACAGTATACTGTATATAGCAGTTTCTCAAAATTCTCCAAAATTAAAAAATCCTGCGGCGAGAGTATTAAAGTGAAACATTGCAATGCATACCAGCACAAGTAATGCTGTATAGGCAACAGCATTGGCAAGTTCTGAGCAACCTTTGCATAATGTGAATTTTCAACTATATATATATAAAATATAGATTCCTAACAATATTAATATACTATATTAGGAATACGATTTCCTGATTTTAATTATATTAGGTTAAGATAGAAATTTGATCAAAATCTAATCTATCCTATGTTAGTTTCGACTCAAATTATAAAATATCATTCATACACAGGTACAATATAATTAGATGATGGTGCAAATGTGGAGACTCATTTGAGACACTTCTGTAGTCTCAGAAAAGGAAATAAAGAGCATTCAGATAATATCGTTTTGTCCCTGATTTTGTGAGCACTTGCTTCCCCTGCAACCTCATTTTTGTAATTATATACTTTATTGTACACGATTAAATGATTGCGAATTGTGTAGCATTAACATACAAACATCAGTGCCATTATAAGTGAAATGAAAAATAAACCAAAAGAATTAATAAACGGATACAGTATTACAAATCAAACACCTCTTCTGGGGTTGGATATGTGCTCAAAATGCAGGCATTTCCACTCTAAACTGTGACACTCAGTTGCTGGAACAGGAAATTTGTCGCTCTTTGGTCTTTTGTAACCCTAATTAGTTTGTGGCCCAGTTCTTACAGTAACCTCATTGCATATTTGTCTACGAACCAAGGAGATTCAGATCCAATCAGAAGAAAACTATCAATGTGCCAGACCTGTATTTGATAGCTTTCTACTTTTCCAGAAAGAAGCAGTGCCACCTCTATCAATTACACTGCTTTGAGGGTAGGTACTGGGTATTGGTCAATATGGAGTTGCATGTGTGTCATCTTTTAGGCTTGGTGGAGAGAGTGAGGGGTGTGCAATAATGTCCCACTGACTGGCTCCTTCAATGAACTTCTGATCACGAGCTCTCAGTCTCTCTCATGCGCTCTTAATAGGATCTTCCCTACCAAGTTACTGGCAGCATTGCACAAAGGTAAGAATGCTAGTAGTGCTACCTCTGGGGAATAGGCATACGCAAACCACCAAAGTCACGACTCGGTTATGCACAATTAACAAGGAGAGAAATAAAAAATCTGAGTGCTTTCTACCATTTAACACAGAGTGCAATATGTATTTGATGTTTTTAATATATTAAAGTACTTCGATTCTTTTAATTTTCTTTTCCTTGTGGTCAACAGCCTTTAACAAGTTATTATTCAACTTATCAAATAAAATTTCTAAATATAAAGTTAACTTTATTTGGATAATAAAACTATATACTGTATCTCAAAATGAATAATTTCAAGTGACCTAATACAAGACAACACACAGGGAATGCATTCAATATATAAAATACTTTATATAAACACTGTATATACAGATAGGCAGATAAGGTAAACCATGCAAGTGGAAAAGCATACATATTTATACACACAGTAATCATGATACAAGTATATAAGTAACTAAATGAAATACATGAATCAGTACCTGTACTGTATTTGAACCCTTTGGTTGCGCTTGACAATATCGATCAACACTTGGAAGAGAATATACTCGCCTAGTTGTGCTTGCGGGGGTTGAGCTCTGGCTCTTTGGTCCTGCCTCTCTTATAACTTATAAAATAAGTTATACCTTATTTTATAAGGTATAACTTATTTTATGTTCCCTCTTCATATTTAAAATGCCATTTTTATTTAATATAATATTTTAATGTTATCCATAGAAATAGCATACATTTTTATTTTTTCCTGTTTGATTACATTTCTAATATGTAAAAAGGACTCCTGTCCTACCCCCATCTAATTTTCCGTCTGACAAATACGATTATTGGCTACACAGTATTGAGTGACAATGGCTTGCGAACACAAAATTTACCTTTAGGTAAATTTACCTTTAGAGAGATAGGTCACCTGAACCAGACTTTATATTCAAAAATAAAGAATTGCTTCTCTGCTAAAAATTTAATACAAAATGAAAAATTATACCTGGAGGTTGGGGGTGTATTCTCAATACAGATACAGCCGACAAAAATAGTGTTGCAACCAAGGGATTAATAATACAATAAAGTAATGTTAACTTAAAAATGTTTCAGCAGTATACATTTCCAGGATAAAACCACACATCCTTTTACCAGTTACCTTCCGTGCATTAACTAAAAAGGCAGCTGCTGTGAAAATGTAATCCGCCTATTAACTTAAAACTTATTTAAGATTAATAAAATTAGACTCTATTCAATTATTTACATTTGAACTTTGCATAGAATAACTTTATATGAGTGACTTAACTTACTGTACATATAATATGGAGAGCACGGACATTATAAAAAAGGGTATTGGCTCAACGTATTTGAATTTCTCCATGAAGGGAGAAAGATTTTTCCCCCTCAAATAATATTTCCAAAGATCAATACAGTTTGGTTGTGTTCTAACACCAATTACAGATTGTATTTAAATATGTGTACTTAGCTGCACGAATATTGCTATACAAATAAACTTGGGCCATCCAAACAGACAAAGCTTGGCTGCTCTCCTGGAAAAAAATATAGTTTAATGAATGAGAATTTCATAATCAAATGGTAATCTAATTCTATCTTGACTATTCAACAGCCTCACCTTACATGCATAAAACTTTTCCACATGTCTGATAAATATGAAAAGAAAAATAAAGCACCGAATGAAATGAAAATGAAATTTTGGGGGTGGGAGGGGGGGGGGGTGGGGTGGGGATAAAGGGGGGTTTTCTCCAGTAGCTGCCCCTAGCTTATAAGCTGGGCAACTATAACTAAGCATTAGGCCCCCAACACCAACCCAATGAGATCCATCTCTCACTGAAAATCGGACCCAACATCTAGCTCGCTCTATGAGGCAAAGGTGTACCTGGGAATCAGAGAGCAACAAAAATCGAAGGTAAAATCCACCATAAATCACATGCACAACAAAGTAATTGACTGTTTGAATGGAGAGAGAGAGAGAAAAGAAAGAGCCAACTCAGACGCAAACTAACGCACATAATGAAGGCTATTCACCTACACTGTGGAATAATACCTACATTGTTGAGTTGAAATAAGGCCACAGCCGTCTCTTGTACGAAATGAGACAAAAGTGTAAGAGTACCCAAATTATATCAATTGTCAATTATGATCTGCAGTCACATATTAAATGTGTCCATCTTCCAGATGATTTAAGAAAATATAAAATAACTAATAAATCAATATTCTGAATCTGCAATAAGGATAATTACATTTCCTGATAATAGCAACATTTCTAAAAAGTATTTCTTCTGAAGAGGATAGGAATTCCTTTGTTGCCGCATGCTCAGAAATTTCAGAGAAATGCAAGCCAAAAGTACAGAACATCCAGGTATGTAGAGACAGACGGACTCCCAAATGAAAACACGGTGTTAGAGGGGTAGCAATGAAGAAAGTGCGAGCACAGATCCAGGTGGACAAATAATTCCAACGCTAAAAAAGGAAGTGACTGAGCAACAACAGGAATCTTTAAAATCTCCACCTAAATCTATCAGCAAAGAGCCAATACAGAGTGTAGGACAGATGAACCAAGATAATTAAGCAAAGCATGATCTTGGAACCCACTTTGACCTATGTAAAGTAAGATTTTGTCCTTGGGTTAAGGTAAACTCCATCACATCCACAAACCCCTATTATTGTACTATGTATATGCTTATTTGCATCATACATGTAAAACCCAGACAATAATTGTTTAAATTGTCGTATGACGTTAACCACATTACCCTGTGAATCAACACATGACGATAAACGTTGTCAAACGATCAATACTGAATACTGCAGTACAGTATATGTACAGTATTTGATAAAAATATTAATATTTATTTGTTTTAGAGGTTTTCACTAATACAACTACAATTTCCCTTATACTATACTGTATTACTGAAATGTATGTTTTATTGTACAATGTATTTGGTTTGGAATGAGATACTGTACTCAAGTATATAATACTCAAATTTTTACTAGTTATTCAAGAGTAATTTATTGCATCTAAGGAAAAGAATTTAATACAAAAATAACACTCACAGAGTATGACCAACTATTAAGGCACTGTAGCTTGTTATAAACAGCATCTTAGAATAAACAGTCAATCATCTTGGTCATCTTTTGGTTCTACTTCTTCCTTTAGTGGGTTCCTTTGATTTATATTGCACATTATCAGCTGCTAACGTAATCTGCGTTATGTCGGCACAGATGGGAGGAGGTTCTCCAGAGTAAACCCCAGGTTCATAAGGTGGGGTATTGGGTCGAACCTTCGTTTTGCTGCGATCCTTTCGTCTGAAATAAAGACACATTTATGTTTTATTTTTTTTCCTCGGAACAGCACAACTCGATTGCCCTCAAATATAAGGTCGTGCTGAATTCATTGACAGGAACCTGCATTGGCAGAGAAAGTTGACATTCTGCCCTGGCACAACGTGAATTACTGGGACGGCTCTGTTGGTGGCTCCCTGTTGCTACATTCTGGATACATTCTCACTTGTAAGTCACATCAGCTCTTTAAAGTCCTTAATACTAGAAACCAGATGCCAAATGAACAAATCTTGAGGTTATCTTGAGATGATTTCGGGGCTTTTTAGTGTCCCCGCGGCCCGGTCCTCGACCAGGCCTCCACCCCCAGGAAGCAGCCCGTGACAGCTGACTTACACCCAGGTACCTATTTTACTGCTAGGTAACAGGGGCATAGGGTGAAAGAAACTCTGCCCATTGTTTCTCGCCAGCGCCTGGGATCGAACCCAGGACCACAGGATCACAAGTTCAGCGTGCTGTCCGCTCGGCCGACCGGCTCCCCGGTCGGGCCGAGGGGAGCCTGACCAGGGAACCCTCATTTCAAGTCCACAAGGGCTTGACGAGGATTCGAACCTATGTCCGAGAGCATCCCAGAAGCTGCTTTAATCGACTGAGCTACGACATGGTCAAATGTTGAAACCAAAGTTCTACTGATTTGATCATTTGATGCATCACGCTATTGTGATTTCTTTGTGTCCAGATGCCAAAACCTGACCCCCCCCCCCTCCATCACAAGGTACAAGGAGCAGGAGAATGTAAAGGAGCAAAATAGATAGCTTCAAGATTCACAGGAAAATAAACAAACATGGCAGCAAATTATCCAGCCCATTCTTGTGAGCATTCCCAATGTCAAGAAAACTGTTGTACTAAAGTAGCCCAAACCTAGCCAACCAGAGAACCCACAAAGAGAAAACGGGAAATTATGTCAATTTCACGAGCCACTGCCAATTTTTTTGTACAGTGGCACCTCGATTAACAAGCGGCTTTATCTACGAGCATTTCGAGTAATGAGTGAGCTACTAGCAGAACATTTGTCTCTACTAACGAGCTTTTCCTCGATTAACGAGCATTTCCACTGGTTCTCGGACACCTTTTACGACAGTTTTTTTGTTGTTTCACAAGACGAGCTCGGTGCCGGAACGGATTAAACTCATTAATCGAGGTGCCCCTGTACATCGGTTTTTGGCCTCGGAAAAAAGCATACGTCAAAATGCGACATGCTATAAAGAGAACAGGCTGAATTATTTACCTAGTAGATAACGTTATCTACGTTATCATAGACAACGTATACGTCATATAATGTAAATAATGAATACATTATATATCGTATATGTAGCAGTTTGTTGCACCAAGTTATCACAAGTTAAGCCAGGCCCCAGGCTGGGCTCAGGGAGTAGAATAACTCCCAGAACCTACTCATGTATGATCAAGTACTTGATAATTGATCACAATGCAAGGCCTGTCGACGAAGAATTAATGCACCAGTAGTTAACCGTGTGTTAATGTATGTAATACATCTACCTTCGACTTGTATCTGTTTAGACTTTCCACCTTGGCAGGGTTTACAGTTGGCTTGTATGATGTGGTTCTTTATTATCTGTGACTTCGTATGCCTTTCCTCATCACCTAATTATTGGGGATGGATGTTCGACTACATTATATAGGGGCCTGACAGCTGAGTGGACAGCGATTCGGATTCGTAGTCCTAAGGTTCCGGGTTCGATCGCTGCTGGAGGCGGAAAGAAATGGGCAAATGGGCGGAAACAAATGAGTTTCTTTCACCCTGATCCTCCTGATCATCTAGCAGTAAATAGGTACCTGGGAGTTAGACAGCTGCTACGGGCTGCTTCCTGGGGGTGTGTAACAAAAAGTCGAGGAGCCTAGTCGAGGACCGGGCCACGGAAACGCTAAGCCCCGAAAACCTCTCAAGATAACCCAACAACACTCGTCTTTGATTAGGCAAGTACACTTGTTATTTATTTATAAGGCCCAAATCCTATTTTGTCTATTTTTTCTTTCTTCTTATTATTATTAATAATAATATCGAGAAAATTAGTAGGATACACGAGGAGTATTGGAACCTATGCTCTAATGTTACAGCACACCAGTGGCTTAAAACACAGCCACATAGTACTCACAAAGGCGGGGAAGCTTGTGACGGCGCTGCATATTCTTCCAGTTCTTCGTGATGACGGACCCGGGAGAGAAGAGTTAATTCAAGACAGTCCATGGCAAATTCTCCTGGTTGGGATTCACTTAACTCTATGTTGTATGTATTTGCCTGAAAGTGAGAGGAAAAAACATACAAAGTTACCTCACATTTCATTAGCACAACCTTCAGATACAATCAATTTAACAAACTCGGCTGACTTCAAGAAATTTGCAAACAGACAAAACCTAATTGTTTTTCCTTTATTAAATTAGGTGGTGGTCTTGTTATTTCAAACAACGGTTACATTGCAAACAACATTACAACGTAACCATGGATCCAAATTTGTATCGCCAAGTTGATTCGGTCTTAAAATAAATCTGACCAAATAAATACTCATGAAAAATAAACTATATATGTTAAATATTAGGGGGTAGCCTTTGACAACAATCAGGACAGAGCTAATGAATTCATGCTCTATGGGTTAATTTCACTTAATTTTTAATTGTAACCAATCTTATGAAGGACAATTACCAAGAGAACCTGTCTATAAAAGGATTTCACCACACCTAGCACATTTCCCATGCTCCAGCCTCAAAATGCCATTTTTCAAGGGACGAAGGGGCCTTATTTTAATGAATGAAAACTGCTGCAACTGGAAATTAAAACAAACTATATAATTTGGTTTTAAATATTGTCAATGGCTTACCCAAGGCGCCAACTCCCTTCTAATGTTGCAACCATCTACAAAAATCATTAAAAACATGACTGGAGCCATAGGTCCATTATTTTAGCGCCCTCTGATTATTCTGCACCATTAAAGTGCGGAATAATCAGAGGGCGCTAAATATCACCAAGGATGCCAATACGAGAACAAAAACGCATAAGGCGAACGTAACAGTTACCAATCAAACCTTAATATTTCCCAAATTCTATGGGTTGATTTCACCGAGTGAAATTATAATTTCAACCTGTCATATGAAGGACAGCTACCCAGAGAACCTATCTGTAGATATATTAACTACATTTAGCATATTTCCCACACCCTTGCCTCAAAACCTCATTTTCAGAGGAAAAAATATTATATTTGTAAAAGAAAAGTGGGAAATCTCAAAATTACAATGAACCATAGAAACTGATTTTAAATATGCTCAATGGCTTTCCCAAGGCTCCAACTCTTTTTCTAATGTTGCATCCATCTCCAAAAATCATTATGATTGTGACTTGAGCCCTATTGAAGAGTGTTAACATTCATACCCTCATATTTCCCATGCTCTATGGGCTGATTTCAATAAGGAAATCTTTATTGAAGATATGATATTGAAGATATTTATGATATGATGAGCAACTTTTTCATCAGTCTGCAAACTCTGTTCTAATATCCTAAGGAAATCAATTCATCCCCTCTTCAGCAAACTCTTGTTCATTGAATTGGGTGAGTAAATCTGGCCTGGAAAGTTTGCATGCCAACTCGAGATTTGCCAAATCAAGGTTCCACTGTGTTATTATACCTTTCATGTTTCAAGTCAATATTTTGTTGACACAATAAAAGATTTATTTGTCTTTTAGTGGAGGGGGTTTAATAAATTGTCATCCACACTTCCGTGGAAATAAACATAAGGCTACGAGCAGTCTTAAAGGAAACTTTCCTTTTTAAGACTACTCATAGCCCAGTTGATAGAGCGTCGGCCTCACATGCGTGGGGGGTCCATGGTTCGAGACCCATACAGCCCAGGTGAATGGAAGGGGTTTTTATTTTATCACATAAGCAGGCCCTACAGATTTTTTAGGTGCCACTATCCAGAGACCAACCACTTGGCAGACATGGCCATCTTTACCCAACTTTTATTTTAGTTTAGAAAGTCAGTATTACTAACATTAAAACACAAATGGTGTATAAAGCAGCCTTACCAGCATGAGGCAGGAGAGGAAGAGTCTAGACACCTCCCAGGCTTCAACACCCTTCGCTACAGTACTGAAAGATACCGTTTGCTTACGTCCATTTTCTGGAAAGTGGCTCAACACCTGCAATCAATAACAAATAATTAATAGCACATAAAAAATATATATAAAGAAAATGAAAAAGAGAAAACACAAAATTTACTTAAACCTGTTCAAACAATGTAAACAAAACTATTTTGACAACTATCAACAACTACAATAACCTTATATACAGTTCACTAATACAAGTGTAACATATACAACAACTTCCAGTATATTTAGTTTAACTTTCCTTCACAAAGTATTACCTAAATTACATATGGATTGTCTTCAGGTGAGAGCACTCAAGAAAGATTGTACTCTGTACTGCATACAGTACAGAGAGGATAATGAGTATAGTATATAGATATAAACAGTGTATATCTGTGTTCTAGATGAACCCAACCACAAGGAAACACACGGCCTGGGAAGCATCAAAAAGAGGGGCCCAGCTCAAGAATGAATGGTGGTATTAATGTAGCTCGAGGAACTGAAATTTTCTTCGAGAGAAACGGAGCAAATAAAATAATATTCCAAACAACTAGTAATTCGTGTACGAATGACTGACTTACCTGAGAACCATATCGGTGAATATCAAACTGCCGTCTGTGTTCCTCTTCATCCAATTTTGGCATAATATTTTCACGCCATTTATTCACACGTTTCACAAGGGAAGAGGACGTAACATGCTCCTGGAAGGTAGAGTAAAATTATAGACAATCAAACTTTTGACAAATAAATTGTTTTCTATGCCAAATTATTTTAAACATTTATTTTGAGCAATGAGTATCGAACATTTATTTTGATCAGTGATTATCGAACATTTATTTTGATCAGTGACTATCGAAGGAGGTAGTCTAGAACCCCTCTGCCAGGCATACCTCACATTACAAACAATATTCTTAAAAATACATATCCTGATTTCCATGAATGAAAAGGATCCGGTGCTTGGTACACCCAAAATCATTCCATTGAAGGTAAAATAAAAATTAATAAAAATAACGATAATAAATGGGGGGGGGGGACATATTGCCATGTGGCTTCCTAATTTATCAAGACATCCCATAAATCAGCTGGGATTGGCCTCTGGCTGAAAATTTTCAAAGATGTTATTAACCTTTATTTGTCTTATTACAGGCAAACTATGATAAGTAGAATATTTAATTTTTATTTTTACATTAGTGCATAACGTTTTACGATATACAAACAAAAAATAATTATTTTGACTTTCTTTAGTTCGTTGAGCTGGGGCCAGAGTCGCCACCAACTTACCACGGGTTCTGCAGAACGGTATTCAGTTCTCCTAAAAACACATTCATGGTTGTATTCAAAGTTTCAACCCCATATGGTGAATTCATAAAGCATCTTGTCCTCAACTACATTTATGATTGATTTATTTAATAGTGTTACTATTCAGTAATTACTGCTTTTGGAAACCATTTAACACAGCTATATTCCATGGACTTCCCAGGAATAGTATACTATGATTATTATAATCATTAGCAAGTGTTAATAATTATGTCATTTGTGTTAGAGTATTTGTATCATGTAGTCAGTCAGTATCAGAAAAACAATTATTGGTAAAGCTGTTTTATATATACTGTATATAAAAAAAGATCACCACCAGATGGCAGCAGTCTACCTCATACCACCTGCCCACCCTCGAGGCTTACCACATTCTAAACGACACAGAAAAAACTATTCATATAAGAGAATCAAAGAATCACTGGAAGGAATAGAGGGTTATCAGATTGTCATGCTAAGAATGCAGCTTTTCATATTCACTCGAGGCCTTAATTTCTGAACTACTGTATTCCAAATGAATGCTCCGTAAGGGAATAGTAATAAGTGAGAGAGGTGGTTGGCCGGGAAGCTGGGTAACCAAGCCTGCCACCTAATGCTGCACATTGGTGGGGGGTTAGAGTATGGGTTGTATACCCATTGCCAACTAACTATCTATTACCTTCTTTTTCCTAATTTATTCACTTCAGATCAGTGGTTTGTTTTCGTTTTGCCTATGACATTCTGCACAGTTTTTTTTTTTTTTTTTTAGTTGTAGGTTGATCAACGCTCCCTTGATCTCTTTTTCAACGAACTGGAGTCTAGTCGTGGTTCCCAGTAGGCTACAGATGTCTGGGGGGGGGGGGCCTCATATGAATACGAGGCCCTGTAATATCAGTGCCATGAGCTCAGGGAAGCCACTGAGGGAGTCTAGCACAGTAAGCTAAATCACCAAGTGAAAACAATTACAGGCAAACTCCCCAAAGGCATGCCTTTGGGGAACACAATAAAAATTTAATGAAATACTAGAGGGGCCTACCCACCTGAGCATTAGTAATATAATCAGCTACCCATTTTTGTACCAAGGCTTCATAATTGCTTCCAGGTTCATCAAAATTACTGTCACTTAGTCGCTGGCTGACAACGTCAGGTTGTCTTGTGGTATCGTGAGGTTCGGGAAGAAATAGAGGTGGAGCTGGCAGGTCATCTCCATCAACATCTGAAAAACAAACATAAAACGAGAAACAATTATACAGCATTAGTGGACATCATTGCTGATTGACTTTTTTCTGTATGGTTTTGTAGGCTTCCATTTTAAGGTTTGTACTGAAGATGTGAATTTGAGCAAGGCTGATGAGCAAGACAGATTTGTTCCTGCTTTTTATAGAAAAAAATTGTATTGACTTCAATGGCGTGAGAGAGCAAACCAGAGGTTGAGATGCAGAAAGGCACTAAGCAAATTTAAAGCCTGAAGAGATATGCAAGAGTTATTCAGCAGTGTACAGTTGGGAGTGCCTATTGGTAGTGAGCCAACCAAGTCAGCAGCACAAAGTCTTGACGATAATATGGGGCTTATAACCTTAACTCTACTACTGTATTGTACATCTGCATTTTGTCTAGAGGAAGACAAGGATAACCTTGCTCTTCTGCAAGATAAAACAAAAGTATACTTTTCTTTTAATCCTTTTTTTTTATCCCTTTAGCATTCCAGCATATTTAAAGTGCATGTGAGTTGTGCAAATGTGCAGTAAAATACAATAGTGGTGAGTAACTGTTCAAAGATTTATTCAAAGAGTTCAAAGAGTTTTATGATTTACCCTAAGGGGGGGGGGAACAAAAATGCTGTATCCGCATCCATAGTACAATGGAAAAGGTCCAGTCCCATATCGTCTATTCCATCGAGGTTAGAAGATGACTGTACTTCGTAAGTTTCTTTTACTCACCCAAATCTGCAACTCCATCACAATCAAGAGGATCATCTAGCTCTTCATCCACTCTTTGCCTATTTTCTAAATCTTCTGTTACTTTCTGCAAAGCTTCCTCTACATCAATTGCTGCTCCTTCTTTCAGCAAGTCTTTAACCTTTTTACACTTGTTCAGTTCAAGTCTTTTAGCTACCTCTTTGTTGACTTCCTCTGCAAGTTCTGGGGGTATCTGTCATAGAAAATAATTAATACAAACTTGAATAACTGATCTCATAAAACAAAAACATAGTAAAAAAAAAAAAAAAAACTGAAAAGTGCTTACTAGCATCAACGTATTGACTGGCTCAGCGTACTAATATCCTCAATTTAGCCTGTGCTTACCTTTCGGTTTTTAGTTGACGAACCAATTATTCCGGCAAGCTCCCCTGTTATATAAGATTCTACAGATGGAAGTGACTTCTCAGCTTTCTTATCGTTATCTGTATTCTCATTTTTCTTGATACTCTTTCTTCTAGGAGCAATCTGAAGAAAAAAACTGCATTTACTTTAGCTACTTGTATAAATTAAGAAATTTATTTAGCACCAGGATTTAGAAATTTTAAATTTTCAAAAGCTGGTGCTCATGGCAGGGATCCCAGTATCTTGCAATACAATCAATATTTTGAAAAATACTGGTAAAAACAAAAAATGCCTCCCCCCATCCAGTAAATATAATATGGGAGCACAAAAGGAAGGACAAAATGAATGAATGTGAGTGGGATGGGCAGATGTGTGTAGGAACTTGTAGGTTCACATGTGGGAATACGTTAGGTGTGGCTGAAGCCAGTGTCCTTGCGAGTGTCCAGATGGAGCAAGACATACCTGCTTTGGCCCGGCCTCCTATCTATTTGTACATGGTACGCATCAAATTCTTATTAGTTTGGGCACAAGATTTGTTGTAAACCTCTGGACTTATCAAGTCTTATTTTTATGCTACGGTGTGTACTGTGGCAACATCTGATTGTCCCAAACAAATGACATTTTTCTAGGCACCTGGAGTAAGACAGCCGATCATCACCGAGGGATCAAGGGCGAATATGATGCTCCAGGGCTGAGGGTCTCATATCCCCTTCAAGCTTAGTCAAAATATTTCCTGCAGCACTATTATGTTTTCCATATACATACTGTATTTTCTTACTTTTCTCTCTTCTCCTGGCCACTGTGGTGAGTCTTACCCAAGGTAGCAACTGACTAGGTGAAGCTCAGAAATGAGGCTTCGAGTGTAAATAAGCTCCCATCTGAGCATGCTCCACAATCACTCCTATGCCCTCCCTTGGTCCTGGTACTCAGAGCCTTTCCAGGTGTACACTGTAAATGTAATACAGTATATAAACTAATCTCACTTGTCATCTCAAGTGAGACAAGACTGCTAGCTGCTTTCTCCTTACACTGCCAGTGCTCTTACCTGGTGTCAGGTGGGTGTAGTGGCCGGGCAATCACCTAGAAGTTGGCTATTAGCAGCATCAGAGCAGTACTTGGTGCAGTCAATTTATTTCAAAGTATTGCTTGCAGAAGGGGTTTTAGTGACGAGTTTTTTTTTATAAGATAATATAGCCAGTTACAATATATTAAAGAAACTTATTCGACATTCATGGTGGACTAAATTTTGTATTTGACTTAATTGGAAAACTTATATATCAAGAGAGGACTGTTTAAAGTGACATCAGAATGGAATCTATACACATACTGTATATCCATAGATATTAACCAAACAATAGTGGAACCCAGTAATTTGGTACTCGCCAACTGAGATACTCGTATCCAAATCCTGGATACTCGTATCCAAATCCTGGATACTCGTATCCAAATCCTGGATACTCGTATCCAAATCCTGGATACTCGTATCCAAATCCTGGATACTCGTATCCAAATCCTGGATACTCGTATCCAAATCCTGGATACTCGTATCCAAATCCTGGATACTCGTATCCAAATCCTGGATACTCGTATCCAAATCCTGGATACTCGTATCCAAATCCTGGATACTCGTATCCAAATCCTGGATACTCGTATCCAAATCCTGGATACTCGTATCCAAATCCTGGATACTCGTATCCAAATCCTGGATACTCGTATCCAAATCCTGGATACTCGTATCCAAATCCTGGATACTCGTATCCAAATCCTGGATACTCGTATCCAAATCCTGGATACTCGTATCCAAATCCTGGATACTCGTATCCAAATCCTGGATACTCGTATCCAAATCCTGGATACTCATATCCAAATCATGGATACTTGTATCCAAATCAGACAAAAGGATGTCATTCATTTGTGAGTTATTACTTTATGTGCAGATGTGGATATCAGGCCAGGGAGAAGGTTAGCAGTGAGTGCGAGGGTGACTTCTGTGCAATTTCAAGGGAAGGGTTGGAGTTAGTACTTCTAGACCACAGCTAGAGTGAATGGTTCAATGTGTGAAACCCTGATTGGGCTCGAGTAAGACTCGAAACCCCCTAGAGGATTCCGTTGAATCTCAGGTTGCACTGTTTTTACTATGTCGTGGTGTAGTGGTCTACGGTGTGTGTTTGGGAGTACCCAGTGTGCAGGTTCAGATCCTCCTTGTGACTCTAACCGAGTTTCTCATGGATAAGATTCTCCTTGTGACTCCAACCGAGTTTCTCATGGATAATGTGATTTCTTTGTACATCTCGAACATTTTCTTCATTCACAGTGAAGTTTACCAAGGTCGGCATGTATTTAGTCTCATAGTTCACATTTATACAAGCTTAGACATTCACATTGACAGGTAATTAATTAACCTTACTTTCGACCAAGTTACCAAATTTCAAAAAGGACAAATTCACTCAATGACAGTTTTTGACAAGTGTTTGAAAATATGCTTTGCTTTAATGGAATTTCTTGAAGTGCCTTGGATAACGGGGCTAATCTCCAATAACCAGATATGCTACGGTTTTTTGGGAGTGACGAACCAAAACTCTCTGTATGGATGAGCAACGAATCTAGGAAATGGGAAGACAGTTAGCAGAGGCTCCACTGTATTATGAAGTACAGATAGCCAACATATTACCTTCAATACACAACAAAACTAGAGTTCCTACTAGTGGTTGGCGATGACAGGCACACGGTGGTGGTCTGCGCAGCCGTCCCGCCCTCACGGGCCTCTTGGCTGGAGTTTCTGCATGAGGGTCTAGTGGCTTCCATGGATCGGTCAACTTCAGCGTTACAATCACTTCTTTCTCGTTACCACCTCGCTTTCTAAGTCCATACCTGTCGCAATTTATTCAAGTTTGAATACATATTTCAAATATAGCATTTACAATATAAATATATAACTGGCTTTATTCTTGCAAGTTCTTTAGCAAGCAAAACAAAACATTCCAGAATCTCCTTTGTGTGGATACCATCTCACAGAGTAACAGCCAAGAAAATATCACCAAGGCAGCTAAGGCTACATGTAACATACCCAAAATTGAATTAGACTTAAGACCACACAACAGTACTTTAAGAAACTAGGACTGACAGAAGTGCAATCACTAACACTCAATGAGTGGAAACCACTAGTATAAAGTTATGACATTGTTAGATATAAGACCTATATATTACATCCACCAGTGTGATGAAATTGCCAAAATAAGGCAGATAACTGTAGATGAATCTCACCAGGTATAAAATGAGGGTTTACAGTATAATGGGTATTGTATGCAAGCTCCAGCTAATATATCATTACATCAATACCAGCAATTAATAAAATTGAACGCCTCTTTTTGATGGTTCCCCTCAACTTCTCTCCGAGCTACACAGTTATACGTGTCAAGTCCTTGGTTCCACACCTGGGTCTATCGATTTACAATCACCTACCAGAGAACAGTACAGGAATCTGATCCACTCAACAGAGGTAAAGGGAAATCGGGGACCCCTATATATATATATAGGGACATCATAGTCAGATTTCATGGCTTCACCACAGCCAAAGTCCCAAAATATTTTATATATTCCTGTGATCAGGGAAGTCATAATAATAACTCCTAACAATATCAGGAGGCGGGGAAAAAATGTACTCATGTACCGGGGATCGTCTCGAATTTAGGCACAGCCGAAGGAATGAACTTTGATGAAAGTCTGCGCTTACCGTCCATTAGGAAGGTCGATGACATTGAGGCTGTTGTTATTCTTGGCCTCTTCCTTTCCCTCATCTGTCTTTTCTCTACCTTCCTCCTCCTCTATATTCATTGGTTGTTGGTCATCAAAGAAGTCGGCAGGATCAGCTGCACCGTCCACATCAACACCCTGATCATCATCTGTAATACACTGAATTACTAAGAAGAATGATGGAATCTGCCTGTCCAATCTGTTACAATTAATAGTGATCATGAAAATAGAATGATTTTCTTATTAGAAATACTGTCTAAACTCACTTAGCAAGATATTATTTCCGACAGTTTTTTATCTTGCACCAAACTTATAAATTATCTATTCCTCCCGATCTACATATAGTACAGCCTTCAAATTGCTGTCACAGTCTATCTTGAGGTTATCTTGAGATGATTTCAGGGCTTTAGTATCCCCGCGGCCCGGTCCTCGACCAGGCCTCCACCCCCAGGAAGCAGCCCGTGACAGCTGACTACCACCCAGGTACCTATTTTACTGCTAGGTAACAGGGGCATAGGGTGAAAGAAACTCTGCCCATTGTTTCTCGCCGGCGCCTGGGATCGAACCCAGGACCACAGGATCACAAGTCCAGTGTGCTGTCCGCCCGGCCGACTGGCTCCCTGTCTCCCATACATCTGAGTTGGATGTATAATGCCACACAATTTACTTACAAGTTAGTATGTTCAAACTGTAACGCAAACAACACAAATACTGGCCTTCTACTGCATCGTGTACACCTGGCCCTTGTGGTAGCGCATCACTTGCTTGTGGCTCAGCAGGAAGAGCACAAGTCCCAGCACTTGCAGCTTCTGCATCACCTTCATTCTGCAGCATAAATGACAGGAAGAAAAATGATTTCTACAGTTACTGTATATCACAAAATCGTAATTGCTCTCTTCCAAGACATTCACAAAGGGCAAGTTTGTGAATTACTACATATGCAAGCTACTAACCACATCTATACACACACATGGGAGTAAACACAAGGAGAAAATGGGAAACTATGCCGTCTATACTGTAAAACATAACCCAGAAATTGAAATTAACTAGTTGTTTTCATAGCTTTCTTCAACTTTCAAACCCTAATAATAGCACTGAATCTCAATTATCATTAAATATTTAACAAGTAATATAAAACTTACTACAGGATCTGGAGAATTCAAAAGTCTCAGGGCTGCATCACGTAATATTTCTGATGGAACTTCCATGCACAACATTCCCATGGGTGTCAAATATGACCGATTGATTCTGAAGTCATCTTTTGCCCCAAACACCTCACCATTTTTCATCAGTAAAGAAACACGATTCTGGGACTTTTCTCCATCTTTTTCTACTAAATGTAGAGGGGTTGCTGGCAAGAACCTGAATAAAAATTCTTTGGTTTAAATTTGTATTTCTTTCAGCTTGTATAAATAATATACAGCACTGCTTTAATATATTATCAAAAATTAAAGTCTACTGAAATTTTTCTGCTAAATACATAAATGAAGAAATTGAACTGAACAAAACACAATCTGGAATAACTGGGCACTCACTCACTAGTATATATATTTACAAGCTTATTAGCGGAGATAACCCATGTACAATGAGAATTGTTGACCCACTGCATGGTAAACAAAAAGGGATGGTCTACGTAAAGAGATGAGCAAACCTTGGTTAGTATTGTATATGCATAAAAGTGTGAGAAAGCATAAATAAAGGTCGCCCATTTACTAAGATTAAAAGATGCAAAAACAAAGGCCAGGGGCCAGATTCACGAAGCAGTTACGAAAGTACTTACAAACATGTACATCTTTCTTTAATCTTTGACGGCTTTGGTTACAGTTATTAAACAGTTTACACGCATGAAAACTTGCCAATAAACTACTGTTGTTGTTATAAACAGCCTCCTGGTGCTTCGGAGCTCATTAACTGTTTAATAATTGTAAACAAAGCCGCCAAAGATTGAGAAAAGATGTACAGGTTCGTAAGTGCTTGCGTAACTGCTTCGCGAATCTGGTCTCATGTTGATACACCCTTGTAGAAGTGGTCTCAAAGCTACCACTGGGAAAAAAGATCATGTTTTTGAGTTGCAAGGAGTTATTTAACTTTCAATACTGAGAAACCAAGAGAATGTGATATAATTGTGTAAATTCAGTCAAGTATACCGAATAGCTGTTTCGACAAATTTCTTCTAGATTTGACTAGAACATTAAAACCAATTTACATAAAATGATATGTTAAATATTATAATCATGCAATTAGCTAACATTAGTAATTCAAATTATAAAGTAATTTATAATAACTATACATGAAATATTTACAAATTCAACTTTCAAAATTATTTTCAATAATAAACAAGCTACAGCTAGAAAATTTGTATGCAATGTAAATTTTTTTGCAGGGTAGGGGGGGGGGGGGGCTGGTAAGTTCTAGAGGGAATTTCATAATATAAGCATTACCATTATGAGGATTAGGCTCAAGGCCAAAGTCTGGGACATGAGATTATACTTCTACCCTGCATTTGTTTTTTTCAGTGCAGATAAATGTCTTAAATATTCTATTACAAAGTAAGTGGTACAGTATATTGGAACATTAAATTAATTTTAAAATATTGGGTTGCCCTCTGTTTATGCTTGTTCTTGTGCATGTATGAAATACTCAAATGTTATGTTCAATGTAATGTTCCAATGTTAGAGATCAGAAAGGTCTCATATAGGGCTTGTATATCTTCTAGTATACACCAGGAGTGAATACTTTTCGGATAGAAATCCCAGTTAATATCTGCCAGTATTCGCTCTTATCTCTTTGGCAAACTCCGTCTGCAGAACACCAACAATTGAGGGATGGTTGGTTCTTTTAAACCTGTTATTGTTATTACCAAAATAAAAATAAAAAACTCAGCATTTCGTGTCAGCCTAACTGAGGTGCTGTACAGACACAGGATTAAGATGAATTCAAACAAACCTGCTCAACCTCAACCTTACAGTCATTTACATTTATATTTTCAAACATGCCTCTCATACATTCTCTTATAGAATCTTCAACAAGACTTAACTCACTTAAAACTTTTCCTTTTACAACATTCCAAATCTTCCTCGTCATCTTCATCTTCCCTTAAATCAATGTTTCTTCCCTCTCCAATGTTGTCGACCTTGTTAAAATCCATTGAATGGTCGAGTAACGCTTTCCCCCCTCCACCAGTTTCTTTACCACCCGCTACTGCAGTTTCTACATTGCGTCTACTGGAAAGCAGATCCAGCATCTGTAGAACCATCTGCCATAAAAATTCCACCTGAAAAATTAAGTGGCATGTGAAACACATATTTTTTAAAGTTTCCTTTTAACTAAGCTAGTGTAGTTTGAGATATCCTCTGGATACGACAACCCTACTGCCTAGTGACCCACCACCCAGTGGGACCAACAGTCCGATATCGCTTACTGCGAAAAGGCAGAACACTGGGTCGAGATCTCGTCTTAAGTCATCTTTCAACTTATCCTCAAGTTCCTCTTTGCCACATAAAAGTGGGAAATGTAGTGTTGGTAATAATAGAATAAATTGATTCCAAAATGCTTTTGCAACTATCTCTAATAAAATAGTCAGAAATAATGGCATGGTCTATGCATTTATACACATACAAATTGTCATTTTGCAGATTTTTCTTCCAGTGGAAATAAAGATGCTTTCCATTATAAATGTTATGGTTACATTTTTAATGTGTGACTAAGGATTTGCCAGAAAAAAAAAGCAGTAAAAAAAAGAAAGGGAGCTGGTCGGCCGAGCGGACAGCACGCTGGACTTGTGATCCTGAGGTCCCGGGTTCGATCCCGGGCGCCGGCGAGAAACAATGGGCAGAGTTTCTTTCACCCTATGCCCTTGTTACCTAGCAGTAAATAGGTACCTGGGTGTTAGTCAGCTGTCACGGGCTGCTTCCTGGGGGTGGAAGCCTGGTCGAGGACCGGGCCGCGGGGACACTAAAGCCCCGAAATCATCTCAAGATGACCTCAAGATAGTACCAAGATACAGTATGTGGGAACTACAGTCCTGCATGTCTGCACAGGGGAAGGGTGTAGGCATGCGTGTGTGTATGTTTGTTTTTCTAACTTTTGGAAACAGCTGGAAACTTACTGAATGAGCCAATCACTACATACAATGATCTATATGGCTAGTTCTGAGAAGATGTACAGTATTGACCTTTAACACTGAGATGTTTGTAAGGTTTGTGTGAATGAATGAGATCATATATGTCAAATTTATTCGGGCAATGAATTTTGTTACCACTGCAAATTTTATATTGCCCCAATATAAAAAATACCAGAAAATTAAAAACTAAAAAATACCAGCCCAATACAATAAAAAATACCAGAAAATTATGCCCAATACAATAAAAAATACCAGAAAATTATGCCCAATACAATAGAAAATCTGTACTTAAAAACAGCCTACCTTTTTGCTGTACACCGTAGCTGAACCCTGAATCAACATGGCTGCCTCAGCAAAATTCATCAGCGTTTCCCCTCCATCAAAAGTAATTTGCACTTCAGCCAATTCCTCCAAATACTCCTCCAAATACTGAAAAGGATACAACAAAATAATGTTATCAAAATCATTTCAAACACCATCACAACTTACAAGCATAATAATACAGAGTAGCAGTAGTGAATGATCAGTTTACAGTAAAGAACATTACAATTACAGTACTGTACTAGAGATCAGACGGCAATAACTACACAAAGTTAGAGCTTCTAGCTTCCTGCTCATACTGCACAACTGTACATATACACGTTATATGACAAAGAGTGCTGGGAAGACGGGACACCACGAGCGTAGCTCTCATCCTGTAACTACACTTAGGTAATTACACTTAGGTAATTACAGTCTTTATAATCCTGTGTTAATATCAATATGAGAAACACACTAGAGTAAATATACCCACTGACCATCACGAAGTGACCTGTATACGTGGTATACATGTATACCACATGTATACATGTGGTATACATGTATATGTATACTGTATATAATTATGGTATCGCAGACAACTCTTCCAGCCCCTCATAATTTTCTTGCCTCATCCTTACCAGCGGAAGCTTTACAGACATCTGGAGGCTTTACAGAAATCAAACCCCTCCGTGGAAATGGAACGAAAATGAGACTGCCCATCCTTGAAATGGGATAAGGCATGTCTTGAAATATCTTGTATGGAAATCGACTTTAAAGCATAAGGAAGACGCAGATTTTTTTTAGTATCGGTTGGAAACATTCTCACCTTGGCAATGTCCACTTCCCAGTTTTTAGTCAGGTCTCGAATTGGATTGAGAAAAACTGAGAAGCGAGCATCCAACTCCTGTGTTGAGGCTATTTGCGGCATCTTGGCAGCTTGTGAAAATTCATGAAATCTTGCTGTTACCTGTAAGAAGAAAAACTTGTAGATTACGAGTTATAAAAAACTTATTGTCATTTAAAAATAATAATAATAATAATAATAATAATAAATTACAGCAGAGTTCTCCTTTGAAATTTAGTGCATTAATGCCACATAAACAAATTCAATCTCTATTATACGCACATGTTTTTGTCCACAATCGAGTCCAATATTTACTCATTCTACATATAACCTCTAGATTATTAACATGATACATTACTAAATACAGTACTGTACTCAAAACTTCATAAAACTAATCAATCTGTACTGAAATAATCATACTATATTTGGGTAAATATAGATTACCTCTAGATTATTAACATTATTATTATTATTATTATGATTATTATTATGATTATTATGATTATTATGATTATTATTATTATTGATTATTATTATTATGATTATTATTATGATTATTATTATGATTATTATTATGATTATTATTATTATGATTATTATTATTATTGATTATTAACCTCTAGATTATTAACATGATACATTACTAAATACAGTACTGTACTCAAAACTTCATAAAACTAATCAATCTGTACTGAAATAATCATACTATATTTGGGTAAAGTTCCCAGATACAGTACAGTAACTGTGAATAACTCTAGGTTCTCCTGTTGATCAGCTGGGGTTCAGAGCCCAGCTGATCAACACAAGATCCGAGAGAAAATGTCAGCATGGAGAAAAATAGTAAGCAAGAGTCCTCAAGATAGTACAAAATAGCCTTGTAAAATACAGGAGGGTCTTTAGCCGAGGTGCATCTTATACAATGAAAAATACAATGAATAATTAACCATGCAGGTGGCCTCCTACTTACCCCCGAGCCTGTACAGAAATAGTGCCATGCCCGAGGTGACTATCCACACACAATAGTGCACCACATCCTTACCCTGAATCCAGCATAATCCCTTTAGAATAAAAAGTAAAACGGTACCTTTTTTTCCTCGATAAACAACACACATCACGGCAAGCGCTCTAATTATTACAAACAATCTCTGGGAATCTGGGTAGAATCGCTTTTAATAGGATCACAACTGAAAGGTCACGAGTTCGATTCCAGAGGATGCAGACATTTCGGCACGTTTCCTTTCACCTGATGTTACCTAGCAGTAAATACATACCCGGGAGCTAGGCAACTGTTGTAGATGCATTGTGCAGGTCAGTCACAGACCTAGGGGGAGGGGGGTGAACACAATAACCCTAATAGGCTACCTGCCCCACCCTCAATAAGCCCTAATATCAGGGACACCCTTAAGGTAAGGCAAGTTAATTTATCAAGAAAACGTGCTAAGCCATCACAACTATAAAGGGCACCTCGATTGATAAAGATTAAGCCACCCAAGAGGTGGCACGGGCATGAATAGCCCGTAAGTGGTGGCCCTTATGAGCCATTACCAGTATCAAAAGATGATACTGGAGATCTGTGGAGGTGCAACTGCACCCTGCGTGACGGGAGATGACTCCTGAAAGGGCACCTCATATCCCTTCCATATATATATAGAAGGGGATATAAGGGATAAGGATTAGGGATAGGACAGAGGAAAGAAAAGGGTGCCCAATCACTTGGATTGAATGCCAACCTGCAAGAGGTGAGGCAGTCACTACCATGCAGTCCAAGTGCCACTCTCAAGTATCACAAGTGCCACAGTAAATCCTAGTGCCAATGGTGCCACAGTATACTAGAGTGCCAGTGGTGCAACCCAGCGGCCACAGTATCCCAAGGAGTGCCAGTGATGTCCAACTGTACCTGTATACCCAGGAGTGCCAGTGGTGCCAGCTGTTACAGTGTACACTGGAGTGCCACTGATGCCCAACTGCCACTGTTCCTGTATACCCAGGAGTGCCAGTGGTGCTCCAGTGTACCCAGGAGTGCCAGTGGTGCTCCAGTGTACCCAGGAGTGCCCCAGTGTACCCAGGAGTGCCAGAGGTGCCCCAGTGTACACAGGAGTGCCAGAGGTGCCCCAGTGTACACAGGAGTGCCAGTGGTGCCCCAGTGTACACAGGAGTGTGTGGTGCCCCAGTGTACACAGTAGTGCCAGTGGTGCCCCAGTGTACCCAGGAGTGCCAGTGGTGTCCCAGTGTACACAGGAGTGCCAGTGGTGCCCCAGTGTACACAGGAGTGCCAGTGGTGCCCCAGTGTACACAGGAGTGCCAGTGGTGCCCCAGTGTACACAGTAGTGCCAGTGGTGCCCCAGTGTACCCAGGAGTGCCAGTGGTGCCCCAGTGTACCCAGGAGTGCCAGTGGTGTCCCAGTGTACACAGGAGTGCCAGTGGTGTCCCAGTGTACACAGGAGTGCCAGTGGTGCCCCAGTGTACCCAGGAGTGCCAGTGGTGCCCCAGTGTACCCAGGAGTGCCAGTGGTGTCCCAGTGTACCCAGGAGTGCCAGTGGTGTCCCAGTGTACCCAGGAGTGCCAGTGGTGCCCAGTGTACACAGGAGTGCCAGTGGTGTCCCAGTGTACACAGGAGTGCCAGTGGTGTCCCAGTGTACACAGGAGTGCCAGTGGTGCTCCAGTGTACACAGGAGTGCCAGTGGTGCCCCAGTGTACCCAGGAGTGCCAGTGGTGCCCCAGTGTACCCAGGAGTGCCAGTGGTGCCCAGTGTACCCAGGAGTGCCAGTGGTGCCCCAGTGTACACAGGAGTGCCAGTGGTGCCCCAGTGTACCCAGGAGTGCCAGTGGTGCCCAGTGTACCCAGGAGTGCCAGTGGTGCCCCAGTGTACACAGGAGTGCCAGTGGTGCACAGTGTACACAGGAATACCAGTGGTGCCCAGTGTACCCAGTAGTGCCAGTAATGCCAAACTACCACAGTATACCCTGGAGTACTAATAGTACCCTCTTACTACAGTATACCCTAATATTAGGGGTGCCCAGCTGTCAAAGTATGTCCAGTGGTGCCAAGCTTCTACAGCATACTCTAGAGTGCCAGGGGTGCCAAAGGTAGCACAATACACACTGATCAGCGGTAATTATTGTCAGCGGTGCCCCAGTGGACCCCAAAGAGTGCCAGTGAGTGGCACATAGCCCCCGTCAAGTTGGGAGGTCTGGCACTCATCTACAAACATATATTACTGCACCTTCTCTCCCTTCCCCACCTCCCTGTCCTCTCTCTCCTCCAGCAGGGCACCCAGAGGCTCTCACCAGCCCCTGCTCCAGCTCCCGGCCCCCGGCACCGACCCAGAGGCCCCGGGTACGTCTGTTGACAAACAACTTTACGATTTTTCAAGACACTGTTTACCCGCCAAATGCAATTTTACACTTATTTGACGCCAGTCAAGACGCTCCCCAGAGCCTTCACTTGTCACAATGTTCTTGGAGCTCTGCACTTACCACAAGCTCTATTAAGGGTGTTCAGTACAGTTATATAGTGATAAACGAGTCAAAAATCTAAAGAGAATGTCACATTTTGATATAACGTCCGACCGCCATGTTATCGTCTCGATTTGAAGTTGAATGAATGAATGAAAATGGGAAACCAAAACACCGCTAATTTCTTATATTCGCAGCTTACTGACCTGTGGCTCGTCTCTGTTATTCTTGAACTTAAATAACCTGTTATTTTGTATCGTCTTAGTAGCACATAATTCGTTATATCAGCAAAATTTCAGGTAAAATATTTCCCATTCTCATTAGCCAGAGTGTCGTTCGCATGGCTTTGATTGACTTTAACTTGCTGAAATTTAAATTCTATTTGCAGCTATACAACAATATTTATTATATAGCTAATAAATAATTGTAAATGGTATCTAAGAACTTTATTAATGTGACACTTCAATATTTTTCGCATGAGAATAAGAAGTAATATAGAGTGAGTGAGATAGCTAGAACACAGCGTAGTGGTAGTGTGGCAGCTCCTTCAACTGTCACATCATTTGTTTTACAAACTATTATTTAAACAATTAACTTATCGTTCGTATAATATACTGTATAAGAACGCTTGAGTTCGTCCTATAAAGTCTCCATTAACCCCTGGAATAATCATTCATGGTACCACTGGTACAATCTTTAAACCTTCTGGGACAAAGAAAATTCGCTTTTCACACTCAAATAACTTTGTTGCCGCTGCCAGTAACATCAACTGGGAAATGTAACTGGTTAATAGGGCTGGACGGTCATGGAGCGACGGTCTCGCTTCATGCAGGTCGGCGTTCAATCCCCGACCGTCCAAGTGGTTGGGCACCATTCCTTCCCTCCGTCCCATCCCAAATCCTTATCCTGACCCTTTCCCAGTGCTATATAGTCATAATGGCTTGGCGCTTTCCCCCCTGATAATTCCCTTCCCTTCATTGAAACTTTACCTAAATTTACCAGTGGAGCACATCTAGTGTCCTCCACGAGGACAGGAAGCTGGAGGCTTGTCGAAGGTCCCTCCATTTGACCTGATAATTTTCTCCAGATGAATTTTGAAATTACAGTAGTTTTTGTCATGTAAAAACCTCTATTTAAAAAGAGGTTTTTATTATCTTTGCCACAATGCTCTTGGGACTCTTTGCCATTGCCACAATGCTCTTGGGGCTCTATTTTCATTGTCACAATGCTCTTGGGGCTCTATTGTCATTGTCACAATGCTCTTGGGGCTCTATTGTCATTGCCACAATGCTCTTGAGGCTCTATTGTCATTGCCACAATGCTCTTGAGGCTCTACTGTCATTGCCACAATGCTCTCGGGGCTCTATTGTCATTGCCACAATGCTCTCGGGGCTCTTTTGTCATTGCCACAATGCTCTGGGGCTCTTTTGTCATTGCCACAATGCTCTGGGGCTCTTTTGTCATTGCCACAATGTTCTTGGGGCTCTATTGTCATTGCCACAATGCTCTTGAGGCTCTATTGTCATTGCCACAATGCTCTTGGGGCTCTGTACTTACCACAAGCTCTGCTAGATTGCCCAGTAATATTATATACCTATAAACAAGTTAATAGAGAGAATGTAACATTTTGGTAATTTTTATTGTCTTACAAAAACCTCATTTAAAAAGCCCCTATGCATGTTAGTGGCTTTACAAGAATGTAAAAACATCAATGCTATGTACTCTCATTAACCCATTGTACTTTCTTGTATAAATATAAATAAATAAATCAATTTAGGGCTTCGGCGGGTAGGCGGTTCCATGGGTTTATAACCCTGTGGGTGAAAAAAACATTTTTTCCTGTTCTCAGTCCTTCATTATTGTGGCTTGTTGAGCTCCTTATTTGTGTTACATCTGACCTTTTGAAGATCATGAGGAATGATGATTATTTTTTCAAGAAGGTTCAAAGGTCCACCCAAATGAGGGGGGGGGGGGTGGTGGACCTCTGACAAGCCGCCGGCTTCCTGTCCTCGTCGATGGCCACTATAGAGTGTTTAGTGGCTCCTCAGGTAAATTCAGGAACAGTGAAAATGTCACCAGAACTTACTTCATTTATTATGTACTCTATTGTTAGATGCGGGTGGTGGGGAGGGGGAATGAGGGGACACTAAAGGGTAAGGGGGGACACAGGAGGGAGAGGGGACACTAGAGGGAGAGGGGACACAGGAAGGAGAGGGACACAAGAGGGAGAGGGGAGGGACACAAGAGGGAGAGGGGAGGGAGGAGACAGAGGACGGTCTGCTACAGAGGTGAGTCACAGACGGGGTGCTGCTGGTCGCCGGTGGGAGGGACCGCTCTAGTGTCGTCCGCTGCTGCTCCAGGTCTCCTTATAGTGTCTCCACACCTCTCACACCTCTTCTCTACCTCTCATACCTCTTCTCTACCTCTCACACCTCGTCTTTACCTCTCACAGCTCGTCTCTACCTCTCACAGCTCGTCTCTACCTCTCACACCTCGTCTTTACCTCTCACAGCTCGTCTCTACCTCTCACAGCTCGTCTCTACCTCTCACAGCTCGTCTCTACCTCTCACAGCTCGTCTCTACCTCTCACAGCTCGTCTCTACCTCTCACACCTTGTCTCTACCTCTCACACCTTGTCTCTACCTCTCACAGCTCGTCTCTACCTCTCACACCTTGTCTCTACCTCTCACACCTCGTCTCTACCTCTCACAGCTCGTCTCTACCTCTCACAGCTCGTCTCTACCTCTCACAGCTCGTCTGTACCTCTCACAGCTCGTCTCTACCTCTCACACCTCGTCTCTACCTCTCACACCTCGTCTCTACCTCTCTCACCTCTTCTCTACCTCTCACACCTCTTCTCTACCTCTCACCCCTCTTCTCTACCTCTCTCACCTCTTCTCTACCTCTCACCCCTCTTCTCTACCTCTCACCCCTCTTCTCTACCTCTCACCCCTCTTCTCTACCTCTCACCCCCCTTCTCTACCTCTCACCCCTCTTCTCTACCTTTCTCACCTCTTCTCTACCTCTCACTACCCACTGCTGCAACATTACGTCTAATGACACAATGGCAAATAAGCTATAGATATTTTAATTCAATTAAATAATCATTGATCTCTTGTGTGTTTTTGGGGCGACTGCTCTCACAAGTGCTTATATAGTGTATACAGTATATGGTATACTGCTGTGTGTGTGTATACTGGGGGGGGGTCAGTATGTTTAGCCAAGCATTGGTGCAGGTTACAAGCTTTATGTTAAGTTGGTTGCAAGGTTTACGTAAAGTAGGTACAGTAACAGGCTTTACATACAGTAGGTGGCAAGGTTTATGTCAAGTGGATTGCAAGGTTTACGCACGGTTGGTTGCAAGGTTTAGGTAAAGTAGGTTGCAAGGTTTACGTAAAGTAGGTTGCAAAGTTTTCGTAAAGTAGGTACAGTAACAAGCTTTACGTACAGTAGGTGGCAAGGTTTACGTAAAGTCGATTGCAAGGTTTACGTACGGTTGGTTGCAAGGTTTAGGTAAAGTAGGTTGCAAGGTTTACGTAAGGTAGGTTACAAGGTTTACGTAAAGTGTAGTATAAAAACAGGAGAGGCTTCTAAAGTTACAGGGATATAAACCCATGGAACTGCCTACCCATCGAAACCGTAAATGCTGACACTTGCTACAGTTCAAAATCCAGATGGAGAAAATCATCGGGAAAATGTATGGTGGGACCTCTGAAAAGCCACCGGCTTCCTGTCCCCCATCATGGCCACCAGATAAATGGTGGCCCATCTATATATAGATGGGGCCACCATCTATATATAGATATAGGCAAATAATAAAATACCTGTACACAGTAAAGTACTGTATACAGTTTTTAAGAGAATATGGACAAAATGACAGTGCTAGCCATATGCTGTATTGTGCCTACTAATTTTTGTTAAACTACCATTCAAGCTGTCATTGCAATCAATCTGAGCTACCTATGTGCTTTAATATACCTACAATTTTCTCTTATCTTTTATATTTTTTTTCTTGCTATGTAACTGTTATCATTTTTTAAATTTTGCAAGTATTTACCTACTTAAAATTTTCTTAGATTAAGGACCTGCCCGAAACGCTGCGCGTACTAGTGGCTTTACAAGAATGTAAATACTATGCTATGTATCCTCACAATCCCAATGTACCTTCTTGTATATATATAAATAAATAAATAAATAAATAAATAAATAAATAAATAAATAAATGAATGACCTGATCCAAATATGTATGAAATGACTAGACTCCACTAAGGATATAGTGAAGATATTAGGAAGTTATTGTCTCATTGGCTGGTAAATTGCCTAGGGCTCAATCATTTCATTCATAATGTAGGGTTCGTTCTCGACCCACAATCAAGAATTCCTGGTTCAAATCCCTGGCGGGCAGAAATGGTTGGGTGCATTTCCTATATCCTAATGGCCCTATTCACCTAGCCGTAACTAGGTACTCAGGAGTTTGTCAGCTTGTTGCAGGGATTTAAACATAATTACAATGTTACACAGTATTGATCGATTTGGAGGATATTGATCCAGACAATTTCCCCAAAAGGTCAGGTGTAACTAACAACGAGCAATGCAGTCAAGCTCAACAAGCCATAATGTAGGACTGAAAACAGAAACTTTGTCACCCATAGGGTTACAAACCATGGAGCCTGCTTGACAGTCTCCATGGTGAAGTGGTAAGACACTCGCCTGGAGTTTCGCGAGCACTTTGTCCTGGGTTCGTATCCTGGATGGGGAGGATTTACTGGGCATCAAAACTTAACTGTAGCCTGTGTTTACCCAACAGTAAAATGGGTATCTGGTTGTTAAACAATTTGGTGGGTTGTATTCCTGGGAATATTAGGATTAAGAACTTGCCCGAAATGCTGTGCATGCTAGTGGCTGTATGTGTACAAGAATGTACGAACTCCTGTATATATAAATAAAAAATAAAAAATAAATACTGTACCTAGAACTGCCTACCTGCCAAAGCCGTAACGGCTAAAACGAATAAAGACCAGTAAACGAATAGATGACTACTGTATATAGACTGATGCTTGCTTAGGTAGGGGACCTTGTCATAACCTGAGCTTCTCGTCAAAGATTGGTACAACCATTCCCAAGTCAGTAATATCAAATTGGTAACTTTATTGCTCTTCTGTCCCACAAAAGTGGCTGCCACAGTTGATTAACAAGGATATATTGGAAGAGTGATGCTCATAAATATAGGAAAGTATTTGTCATTTAATATTTTTTCTATGATTTATCATTTGATGGCCTGTCAGTTTGTTTTCAGTGTTAGATTCTGTGATGAAGGCTGAAAACAGTATCATGAAAACAAACATTAATGGTTGCTTCAAGGTCCTCAGTGTATGTTAGCCACTGTTGTGATACCTTCACAATATTCCGGAGTGAATTATTTCATGTTTTCAATTGTGGGTGTCAAGGGGGCAGTGCCATGTCAGATCATCATCTATTGAATGTATTATTCTAGCACTGCAAAAGCATAATCTCGCTCTCTATTCATAACTTATCTCCTTTCTTTATATACTGTATATATATATACAAGAGTTCTTACATTCTTGTAAAGCCACTAGCATGCATAGCAATTCAGGCATGACCTTAATCCAAATTTTTTCCCGGAATACGACCCGCTAAATCGTTTAACAACCAGGTACCCATTCATTGCTGGGAGAACAGAGGTTACAGTTATGGATTGGCACCTGGTCACTCCTCCCCGACCAGTATACGAACCCAGGACAAAGCGCTCGCGAAACACCGAGCGAGTGTCTTACCACTGCACCATGGGAACTGTAATGACCATTACATACATTACTGTAATGCCCACACATACATGGCCTCTACTGTAAATTTTGTATTCACTGTTTGTCATATTGAAACACTGCTTACAAAATGAAAGAAGTAGATGGGCTTGGAGACCATGCAAAAGAACTTTGGGCCTACCCTTGTATGGTAGGCTGTACAATCTGGAAACATACAAAAAATATCTTTTGATAAACTGTGTACTGTAAGCTGTATTGATTTTGCACATTGTATAATTATTACCTGCAAATGTATGACCTAATTAACATTACTAATAATTATGGTATCTGTTCATTGCTTGTTTTAATTATTACCAAGGTTAAACTTAACATGCTTCATCCAGTCCCGAGAGGATACGCACTTTTGTTGTAATGTAAATTCTATTTAATTTCATTATCCAATAGACATAACTACAGTTCTTCACTGTTTTGTTACAGGGATCAAGTTACAATGGAAGAACTAAGAAGTGAATGGGACGGTGCCACCAGCTTTGCCGCCGGTGCCGTGAGCGAGCGCTGGTGGAGCACCGTTAGCCGTCAGTACACTGAGGAAGGCAGAGTGTATCACAGTCATGCTTATCTAGCCCAGTTATTTGCTCTTTATCACCAGCATGAAGAAAGGCTCACTAATCCTCAAGCTGTGGCACTGGCCATATTTTTCCACAAGTACGTAGGTACAGCTGTCTTATTATTATACAGTACAATGCCTAATGTATTGTCCTATTTTGTTTATACAGCAGAGTTTTAAATAGTTGTAGCATGTCTTATGATTCTTTTACCATAGTTTGTAATTCCTTCTGCAGACTGTCCTTGAATTCTTGCCTTTACTCTCACAATACTGTACTTTATGACTGCTTTTCTGCCAATTATTTCCTCATTGTTCATTAAGTTATTCATCTATGCATGTATTAAATTGGTTGATGACACAAAATACTCCATCTGTACCCTGACACATACTAGAAACAATTTGTTTTAATTTGTCAAAATACTTGTGTAAATAAAATATTTTTCATTTATTTTGAACACCTGAAGCAATTTATCTTACTCTTATATTGTATCTTCCGTTCCTTTACTGTAGTTTATTTTAAAAAGCTTACTGTACTTTTCATTCCTTAAATATTTAAATGCTTTTTATTACATGGTTTTTGCTCTTTTAATACAACCTTTACAGACTTGCAAGTTAAATTGTGAGAAAAAACTTGAATAGAAGGATAATGGAGAGCATGGAAATGTTTGAGGATGATGGAGACTGAAGTTAGTTAATATTGGAAGGTAAGCATAATGATAGAATGTTAAATACAGTATTGATAAGACAGTGAATACTGAAAGGTTTGATTTTTTTATCTGAGTTATTGAGCATTCTGAGCTATGTCATTCAGCTGAGGCTGCTACCTATTTTCTACCTACTCTCTCCTCCATACAGATACTTACTGTACCTCATATGATCCTATCTGAGTGAGGGAAGGAGGGATTATCAAGGGAAAGTGCCAAGCCATTAAGACTATATAGCACTGGCAAGGGGTCAGGATAAGGATTTGGGATGGGATGAGGGGAAAGGAATAGTGCCCAACCACTTGGACGGTCGGGGATTGAACGCCGACCTGCAGGAAGCAAGACCACTTACCTTAGTGAAGTTGCGATACTTTGCTAGACACGAAAAATACATGTACTGTACATGCTTCTGTAAGAGGCAAAAAACATACAGTGATTTAGAAAGGAGCTTTTCACAAGCTTGAAGTTTATTTTCTGAAATTACTTAGTTACTATTACTTTATGATTCCTATAATTTGCACTATTAATTCAGAATAAAACTGATTACATTCTTCTGAAACACTGTTGCGTGCATAACACACAAATTTTGGATGATTGATCAATCTTAGCTATTCGGTAACTTGTGCTTCTATAATCTGTGCAGTAATTAAAGTATATGAGTACCTTGTATATTGTAAAGCAGCTAATATACCAAATTTTAATAATTTAATTGTGGTAACTTTTTGCAGTTGTAAACATGAAGACCAGTTAATTTTAGGACATAACAATTATAATGTATGGAAAGCAAACTATTATAAAATTCTATTTCATTCTACAGGAAAAGTTTGTTTGAAAGAATACATTAGGCATTTGAGATTGCAATAAACAAATGAATGAAGCGTATGTGCTGGAGTAATTAAGAGTACTTAGAGCTTGATTTTTTACAGAAATTATGTGCAGTAATTTGTTCTAACAGTTTTTGTACCTGAGGACTTGTATAGTATAATATCCAGCACTGCTGTACGGTACCCAGTACTGCTATATAGTATCCAGTACTGCTATACAGTACCCAGTACTGCTATACAGTACCCAGTTCTGCTATACAGTACCCAGTTCTGCTATACAGTACCCAGTACTGCTATACAGTATCCAGTACTGCTATATAGTACCCAGTCCTGCTATACAGTATCCAGTTCTGTTATACAGTACCCAGTCCTGCTATACAGTATCCAGTACTGCTATACAGTACCCAGTACTGCTATATAGTACCCAGTTCTGCTATACAATACCCAGTACAGTACTGGTATACAGTATCCAGCTCTGCTATACAGTACCCAGTTCTGCTATACAGTACCCAGTACTGCTATACAGTACCCAGTTCTGCTATACAGTACCCAGTACTGCTATACAGTACTCAGTACTGCTATACCATACCCAGTACTGCTATACAGTACCCAGTACTGCTATACAGTACTCAGTACTGCTATACCATACCCAGTACTGCTATACAGTACCCAGTTCTGCTATACAGTACCCAGTACTGCTATACACATACTCAATAGTGCTATACAGTGCCAGTAGAATACACTGTCATACTACTAATGCCACAAAGTAAAAATGCTATGTATCAATAATAACTGTAATTTCCCCTTGTAATGGTTGTTGTGTTGCTAGACTGGAGTACAACCCTCGCTGTGGTGACTCTGACGTTAAGAATATCGAGAGGTTTGATGAATTCATCTTGGAAGCAGGAGAAGGCCAACAGGTAATATGCTTTTGCTTATTTTTGCACTTTTGAACAATGACTTTGAAACTAAGAATTATTGGCGATATGTTATAAGTGTTTTATGTGGTTTCGATTTCCAATAGATAGGTGAATACAGAAGTCCATTCTTTTAATAACCCAGTGCAGTTACTGTACTCTATATTTTTTAGAAAAGCCACTGAGGCAATGAGGTGGGTGCTAACCTGCGACTTTGGGGTTGCCACATTTAGGTTCGCACCCACCTCATAGCCCTAGTGGATTTTCTCGTTGATATACATCACGTTAATGTGATTTCTGTGTGACTCTATATTTTATTATATGAAGTACTATGTGAAAGACCTGCATATCAATCATTTTCTGAAAATGTTATCCATGTTGACTGGACTATAAAAATCTGAAGCTTGACTTAAGCACTTAGATTATATGGAGAGAATAATAGGTAAATCCATTACCCATAGGTAATGGAAGTGTACTGAAGAATATGAATTTGGATTAATTGTATGGTAGGAAGAGGAAAGGAATGCCAAGAAGATGGACAGACATGGTGAGCATGTGTTTGGAGGTTGGGGGGGCAAGGGGGGTGTTATGTAATTACCTAAATGTAGTTACAGGATGAGAGCTACGCTCGTGGTGTCCCGTCTTCCCAGTACACTTTGTCGTATAACGCTTTGCAACTACTGTACTGCCGATTTTGGCCTTCACCACCTTCTCACATAGCTTGTTCCAACTATCTACCACTGTGTTTACAAAAGAAAACTTTCTAATTTCTGATGTGTGAGAGGAAGTGGGGTGTGTGTGCGACACTAGCGCACACAAATTAAATGGTTATAAGGTGTGATGGAGTCAGTTTGTCAATAGTTAATGATCGATAAGTTTTACATGGGAACTCACAGGAAGTAGTATAAAATGGTCAGGTGTTTGTTGCTGTGGGTGTTTTTCTAGAGTTCTGCATAATGCAGCAGTTTGTAGTGTGTTAGATATAGTGAATGGATGGAGGTGTCTTTAATGTTCTTTCCCAGTATGGCAGTCCTGTGTTTTACAGGCTTGTGCCTACGGTACATTCACAGTGAAAATTGTAAGCAGGATAACGGTGATGCTGAGGCTGCTTTAACAAACAAATGTGAAACAAATAGTGTTATGTTGAAAGAAGTTCAGATATATTATTTATTTATTTATTTATTTATTTATGCATATACAAGAATGTACATAAGGAATGTGAGGATACAAATATGGTAATTACAGTCTTGTAAAGCCACTAGCACGCGCAGCGTTTCGGGCAGAGATGCTTTATTAATGCTTTTACAAATTGTTTAATCATGAACAAATCATGTTTAATCATGCTAGTCGTTATTTTTCCATTATAAATATTTTTTAAGTACAGTATTATCATACAATAAATGTTTGGGAGAATTAAGAATTTATAAAATGAGAATTATTGCAGGAAGTATTACAAGATAATGCACAACACATGTCTTACCCACACTCCTTAGACCCCATCTTCCCAAAATTTCATACAACTAAATCAAAACCACTTTCGTTTTCTAAGGTACAGAACTTTCTTAAAAGTTTCTGGGAGGGTTCCTATTTTTGCGCCTTGATGCTAGCTAGTACCTGGATAGCGCCACCCAGTTCAGTCCACACCAGGACCTTGTGAGTCATTGTAAGCCTATCAGGGACCAGATGCTAAAACCTGACCTCCCCCCCTCCCCCCCCCCTCACTACAAAGAAGTAGAGGATATTTGATAAACAGAGACCACAGCCCAAGGTTTAAACAATATAGGAGACAATTATCAATTGCATATTGTTGTGGCATTGATGATAAATTGTTAAAAAGTACATTCCAGTATAAGTGAACTATAGAATTAATATGTTTAAATAAATGTGTACCTGAGGTTTTGAGTGTCCTGAGACTAGAATATTAAGGTAAGTCTTGTGAAGGAATGGATAAATGTTTGGGCATTTGAGACTGAAAAAATTGGAAATATTGTATTTTGAGCTTTTGTGGTGTGTATTATTTATATAGCACTAAATCTGTGTACTTTGCAGGACTCTTCTTTGGCCATAGCAGTACGGTCACTCTTGGAAGCTTCCGTGAGCAACTTGACAGATGCCCACATGATGGAGGGAGGATCTGGCTCAGATGATGTCCACTACTTCTTGGACTTTACTACGGCAGTGTTAGGGACCCCAGCACCAGAATATGATCAGTACACTACTAAAATCCAAGCTGAATACATTCATCTTCCAACAACTTCATATAATCAGCTAAGAGTTAAAGTTAGTAAGCTGCACTGTTTATTGTCTTTCAGGATGACATTAGGGAATTTATTACATAATTTACAGTTATCTCCCAATATGTTCTGCAATAGATAAAGTTATAATTGTGTTTATTGTTTAGGTAATATTTATTAGGTATTGCAGTGGGGACTTTCCTAATTATGAGAATTTGTAGCTCATTCTACATTGGTTTGTGTCCTTAAGGAAAAAAACAAAACTCATACTGGACAGGATTACATACTAAAAGATAAAAGATATAGAGTAACTCTAGATACAAAAAAAAAACACACAGCTCAACTTAGGTTAAAATGATCAATGTTGAAGATTATTAAACTTTACTTTGTTTCATCACTTTACGTAAATTGAACCGTGTACTCACCTAATTGTGTTTGCGGGGGTTGAGCTCTGGCTCTTTGGTCCCGTCTCTCAACCGTCAATCAACAGGTGTACAGATTCCTGAGCCTATTGGGCTCTTATCATATCTACACTTGAAACTGTGTATGGAGTCAGCCTCCACCAATCACTTCCTAATGCATTCCATTTGTCAACCACTTTGACAAATCGTGTGTGTTGTTCTTTCTGTAACTAGTGTCACTCTGTATCACTTAATTCTTTTAGTATGTAATCCTGTCCAGTACGAGTTCTTGTTGTGCTGGTTAATTTGAAATTAGCTTTTGTATTTTTAGATTTGATGATAAATACAAGAAGTATTAACATTTTCATGAATTGTAATTAAAAATTAAAGAATTTTAACAAGATATTTGTCTTGTTAAAAATATATATTATATATATATATATATATATATATATATATATATATATATATATATATATATATATATATATATATATATATATATATATATATATATATATATATATATATATATATATATATATATATATATATATATATATATATGTTGTACCTAGTAGCCAGAACGCACTTCTCTGCCTACTATGCAAGGCCCGATTTGCCTAATTAGCCAAGTTTTCATGAATTAATTGTTTTTCGACTACCTAACCTACCTAACCTAACCTAACCTAACTTTTTCGGCTACCTAACGTAACCTAACCTATAAAGATAGGTTAGGTTAGGTTAGGTAGGGTTGGTTAGGTTCGGTCATATATCTACTATATATATACAGTGGTACCTTGCATAACGATCGCCCCACAAGGCGAATATTTTGGGTAACGACTGGCCCGATCGGCGAGAAATCGTCCCATATGACGAACGCTCGTTTGTGTAACGTCAACACCACATGGTGGGGTCACGCCGCCACTGTCTACAGTGTTGTATTGGTGTCTCACACGACCAGTATCCGTCTGTATCGCTCCACACACAATTCTGATATTCGTGTTTTGTTTTTTTTGTGGTTTTGTGACTACAATTCTGAACGCACGATGTCGTCCAAGAAGCAGCCTGCGAAAGCAGGAGTTTGCAAGGGGAAGAAAGAGGCAATCACTGTGGAAGTGAAGAAAGAGATCATAGCAAAGCACGAGCGTGGTATTCGTGTGGTTGATCTTGCCAGGGAGTATGGCAGGGCTCCCTCAACAATATCCACCATACTGAAGGGCAAGGATAAATATAAGACGCTTGACATGGCCAAAGGAGTTAGCAAGCTCACCAGCAAACGTCCAAAACTCCTGGAAGATGTGGAACGGCTACTGCTGGTGTGGATGAATGAACGACAATTGCATGGCGATTGTGTCTCTGAAGCTATCGTTTGCGCTAAGGCTAGGATGCTGTATGTGGACCTTGTCAGGAAGATACCAGGTGCGTCGTCTGAAGATGAGGAGGTATTTAGGGCAAGCCGTGGCTGGTTTGAGAACTTTAAGAAAAGGAGTGGTATACACAGTGTTGTGCGACATGGGGAGGCTGCCAGCTCTGATAAAGGTGCTGCTGAGGCTTTTGTGCCAGAGTTCCAGAAATTTGTTGATCAGGAGCAGTTTCTGCCACAACAAGTTTTCAATTGTGACGAGACCGGCCTTTTTTGAAAAAAACTGACGAAGAGGACCTACATCACGCAAGAGGAACAATCATTGCCTGGCCACAAACCGATGAAGGATCGCCTTACTCTCGTGCTCTGCGCCAATGCAAGTGGCGATTGCAAGGTCAAGCCGCTGCTCGTCTATCACTCAGAAAATCCACGAGTGTTCAAGGCGTTTAAGGGTCACAAGACACGGCTGAATGTGATGTGGAGGTCGAACAAGAGGTCCTGGGTCACGCAGATCTTCTTTAGTGAGTGGGTAAATGACGTTTTCGGCCCCACAGTGAGAAATTATCTCGTCGACAAGCAGTTACCACTCAAGGCCTTGCTTGTGCTCGATAATGCACCTGCGCATCCTCGCCAACTGCAAGATGATCTGTTCCCTGAAAATCAGTTTATCACCATCAAGTTTCTTCCTCCAAACACCACGCCACTCCTCCAACCCATGGATCAGCAGGTCATTGCTAACTTTAAGAAGCTCTATATGAAGGCCTTGTTGGAGAGATGTGTTCATGTGATTGACACCACAGAGCTGACCCTCAGACAATTCTGGAAGGAGCAGTTCAATATCATGGGGGCCTTGCGTTTGATAGATAAGGCCTGGGAAGGGGTGTCACGGAGAACCCTACACTCTGCATGGCGAAACCTGTGGCCTGAGGGTGTCCCTGAGCGAGACTTCGAAGGTTTCGGTCCTGCACCTGCATCTGCATCCGCACCTGTGGATGACCCGGAGGCTCTTTTAGTGGATGATATTGTCGCTCTGGGACACACACTGGGTCTGGAGGTGGATGCTGCTGATGTGCAGGAGTTGGTGGAGGAGCACAGTGATGAACTGACCACCGAGGAACTCCTGGAACTGCAGAAAGAGCTGGTGCAACAGGAGGTACAGGAGCTCTCATCGGGGGAGGAGGAGGTCTGCGAGGATGCTATCCCATCTAGTGAGATCAGGGACGTGCTGGGCATGTTCGAAAAGGTGACAGCATTTGCGGAAAAGCATCACCCTGATAAGGCGGTGACAACACGGTGCGTGAACCTGTTTAATGACAATGTGCTGTCTCGATTTAGGGACATCCTCAAACGAAGACAACAGCAAGTGACACGCGATATGATCAGTGGACAGGGTGGGAAGAGACGTGCTAGTGATATTGAACCACAACCCGGTCCTAGTGGGGTTAAATTCCCAAAGAGAGTGAGCCCGCCTGACCCAGAGGTGGTGTCTCCCTCCTCCCCATAAGCCCTCTCCTCCCTCCCTCCCGATCGGCTCCCTCAAGCCAGCAACGACTCTTCATAAGGTAAAGTGAATATAAACATGGAAACAGTCAAACAAACATTTATTTAACATGTACAGTATAATATTACCAGTGTATAATGTCATATTGTTGTTTTAGGGGGTGGAACGGATTATTTGTATTTACATTGTTTTGGGTGGGGAAAATTGTTTTGCATGACGCCGGTTTCACATGACGACGGCGGCGTTGGAACGGATTAAATTCGTTATGCGAGGTACCACTGTATGTTTCTAAACATGCAAACATGTTACGTGTACATAATTGTAATGATGAAATTTCTTCTGTGCACTTATATTGGTCGTGCCAAGATACCTGGTTGATGGGGTTCTGGGAGTTCTTCTACTCCCCAAGCCCGGCCCGAGGCCAGGCTCGACTTGTGAGCATTTGGTCCACCAGGCTGTTGCTTGGAGCAACATAGGACATCTTATGTTGTTGTGTTGTATTCCTCAGTGACCATATTGGGGTATAAGACAAGGCAGCCCAAAATTGTTTATACTCTCCTGTGCATTGGTAACACCTTGATCAACTCCATGAACATTGAACCAGAGAAGTTGTTGGTGCATGGGCTGAATCAGAGAAGTAGTTGGTTCATGGGTTATACCTGATAAGTAGTTGGTTCATGGGTTGTACCTGATAAGTAGTTGGTTCATGGGTTGAACCTGATAAGTAGTTGGTTCATGGGTTGTACCTGATAAGTAGTTGGTTCATGGGTTGTACCTGATAAGTAATTGGTTCATGGGTTGAACCTGATAAGTAGTTGGTTCATGGGTTGTACCTGATAAATAGTTGGTTCATGGGTTGAACCTGATAAGTTGTTGGTTCATGGGTTGAACCTGATAAGTAGTTGGTTCATGGGTTGAACCTGATAAGTTGTTGGTTCATGGGTTGAACCTGATAAGTAATTGGTTCATGGGTTGAACCTGATAAGTTGTTGGTTCATGGGTTGTACCTGATAAGTAGTTGGTTCATGGGTTGTACCTGATAAGTTGTTGGTTCATGGGTTGAACCTGATAAGTAATTGGTTCATGGGTTGTACCTGATAAGTAGTTGGTTCATGGGTTGTACCTGAGAAGTATCTTGTTCATGGGTTGAACCAGAGACATCATGTTAAGAGGAAAAGCCATATACAGTACGTGATTTGTCCATCTGATAATTTTAAATTGTCGTTATCAAAGATATAGCTTTGTGGGTACCGTCAACATTGCCACACACTGAGGCTGTGATTCTTTCCTCACACAATAACTGTGTACTTTCCCCTTTACATTACTTGGAAAAGTCTTACTGGGTAAATATCTTCAAAGCATTTTCACTAGCATATCGACCTGAAAATAATTCGGCATCTTTGTATTCTGAAGTTTGTAATTTCTTCTTAAATGAATCAGTGCTCAACATTGGCATTTGAAGTTTCCAAAGAAAACCCATGCCTTTGCTTAAACCCCGTGAGGCAACCTTGAGCTACCAGGAAGCCTGGTCTAGGACTGGGCTGCGAGTCCCGAAATCATCGCAAGGTAACCGCAAGGTATTCTAAGCTACCTTAACTCGACAGCAAGCTTCTTGGTTGTAAGCAAAATTTAATCTCCAATGGCAGTCCCTAGAACCTGATTCTGCGTAAATCTGCTGCAACTATAGTAACATTTTCCCCTATAGCTGTCTTACGGGATTAAGACAGTGTATGGACGCAGTCTTAAGGGTTTATCCAGCTTTAAAACAGATATACCAAAACTGTTGCTAGTACATGTGAATTTTAGTAACTTGTTCTTATGCTTGTGTGTGTGTGTTAAAAGCAGCGCTGGTCCCACTTCCATACTCCTGTGACAAGTTTGTGCTCAACTTTCCCTGATGTATTACTTTTAGCTTATCCTGACACTTGAGGACCTTGCTCTCTTACCTCCTTCAGCATGACATTCACTAGTAACAGACATGAAAGTTATGAAGTCATTTTAGATTATTTGAGGAATAATATTTAATTATAATAGGAAGAAATACCTCTGTGCTATTCTTTGAATTATTCTACTGTATGGTTCCCACTGTTGCCCCCATACTGTACTAGTATTCATCTCGACCCAGAGTTTCCGCTACCACCTAACCTGGATTGTAGAGATCCCAGCCACCACTTGGCAGCCAATGGGAACAGAAGCTTCCAACTCTTGCCCAGAATCTGCTGCCACCTCGCTAGGCCCATGGTGGCTTGGCTTCTTGGCATTTATTCATGCTGTGTGGGGCCATGGATTTGTCCCCAATAACTGGAGGTCAATAAACCTATCCCTAATAAATGGGAATGTAGAATTGGATATTTCTATATCCTGATAACCCAAAAATCTGGAAATGGTGATTTGGATAATAAGGGTTCCATTGTAATATATATGGAGAGATTTACAGATGTTAACTTAAAATGCTTAATGATTGAGTCATGTATTTTTAGTGTAATTAAATAGTACATTTTGATGTTGTATTTTAAGACAGTTACAGTATGTGTAGGAACAATCATGACATTCATATAATTCTTAGATTATAGAAAACATTTAAATAAATGAAATGGCCCTATACCCAAAAATATAAAGGAATAATATTGTATCGGTAGTTGTTCATGTTCTTCCATCTGAATGCATCTCGTGCATGATACTTCTCCATTAACAAGAGTCAGCTCTTAAGGTAAATGTAAAATTAGTTCAATTTCTACATTTTAAATATATGTGTTGTCTGTTATATGTTTTTGATTCTTATATTATGTCATGTAATAATTTTGTTTTCTATCAACTGAGTTGTATTACAGCTCAGGCACATATATATAAGTAGTTTTGTAGACTTGCCATTTTTGTATTCTGGATAAAACAGCTTGTTTTTCTCTGTATTATGAGAAAGGTGACAATTTATTGAAAATGCCTTCTAGAAGCCAGCATGCTCTACTCTCTAAATTATGAGATATATATATTGATAGCTACACTACAACACTGTGCACAGCATCTTATTAAGAAATAACAATATTAGACACCCAACCCTTGTAGGCATCCGGCAGTCACGGAAGACTATGGAGTTACGCTCGGGTTGCTGAGGCTGTAGTTTCCTCTCCAGGGTGCAAAGCAAGGGTAGGTTGATATGGAGAAGTTGTTACCCATGCAGCAGGTTCCCCCCACCCCTTTCCACGATGCTTAAATTGTCCAATGGAAAGGCAAACCCACACATCAAAAAATAAAGGAAGTGGTGACGTTTTGGGCTGTCCTTGACCATTTATCAAGATGTGCGGGTCGGGTGTGTGTGTACTTTTCAATCATGTTATTGTGACATATTGTCTGCAGAGGTAACATTATTGTACCATCCCAGAGACTGTGCCCTGAAAACAACTGTTTTTTTCGTGTTTTTTTTAAACTGTTTTTAAGTTTCTCATTATGAATACGTCTTAAAATTACTTTCAGATTAATTTGGTCATTCAAAATAAAAAAGCAAATCTTATATGTGACTTGCTTTTCATGGGTTGAATGCAAAAGAATAGTACACTTCAATGGATTTTAAGTTATATAATGTTGAAGTAATATGCAACAGCTTGCTTGTTAAGTCATTTAAATGTATTCTTACAATACCAGATGTAAACATGTGCCTAATGATCTAAAGAAAATTTTCCGTGCTTAGAGTTGTGATGTACAGCATATTTGAACGTCATAATTACTTTTGCAGACACTCTTGAAAATAAAGCGAGTTTCATCAATTTTGTACAGGCAGATTTGTATGAGGAATGTCTTCCTAGAAAACTTTATTTGAATTTGTGTAGAGGTTATATGTGAAAAAAAAAACTATGCCTTCCAGAGACCTCAAAAGGAAGAGGTTTGTGCACTACTGTTAATAAAACACTTGTGCCTATTATTAAATATTCCCACTACATCCCTACCACAAATACAGTATACAATGAGATGCAGAATGTATAATGAAGCTATCCAAAAATGTTATACACTCTTGTGTAGGCCACAGCTTGCCCACTGCAGTCCAACATTTGCTTGCTGTAAAATTTGAATACTGTATTTCAAATTTGTAAAATTTTCAAAATGTGGGAAAACTCATCCAAAGTTAATTTCTTTTAGGCTGGAAAAAGTTAAGTACGATACTTTAATCAATTCCATACAGATCCCAAGTATGGAAACCAATAAGGTTATTCAGCGTCGTGGTTTTTCTCTTGAATGTAATTTGCCAATTCTTATACAAGTTGATTCTCTAATATATGTGAGTGCAAGGGGAAGAGTGAAGGAATGGTGCCTAGTGTCCCTGCCCAATAAAGATTTGAACTCTTAAGTCTTCTTGCTTGTGAGGCAAGTGTTCCAACCCCTGCACCACAGGGTGCCTACACACCCTTCCCTACCCTCCCCCCCCAGTCTAGACAAAAATAACTTTTCAAGCCTACACTTGCCAATCTAGAAGTAAAAATTATGTATTGGAAACACTTCAATTTAAAATATGCATTCTGGAGTAAATACAAAACTGTCTTCAATCAATCTACAGTAGTTTTATTACCTATTAAAAAGAAAATGTTTGCAAAAACTTATTGGAATTTTGAACACCAGCTTAAAATGTGGCGGGTTCTATTATAGGTGCTGTATTACTACTAATGCAGTTTCTTTTTTATCAAGATCATAAGGTTGTGGAGGCCAAAACCATCAGGAGTTTCAAAGCATCAAATGACAAGTGTACTTGGAGAATGGGACGCTGCAAACACAATTCTCATCCTGTAACTACACTTGGATAATTACAGTGAGGGTCAAATTACAGGTACAGTACTGTAATATGTTTACCTAATGAATACTGATAAGCTACTGAAATTGTGTTTCACTCAAAATGTTCTTACCTTAGAAAAAATTACATTTTTACCATCTTTTATTTACATTTTAAATACAGTATAAAATATTTTTATTAGATGCGATTGTTTTTTCAGATAAATTTGTTCTTAAGTCATTTGCCTTAATCATAAACATGCCTAGTTTTATATGATTAAAGTACAATCATTATAATTTTATGTAGTTTTAAAGTATGACACACTAATTTCATATAGGATTCAAGGAAACAATTATTTTGCATTTGTACATGTATAAATTTAATAAACAATACAGTATATTTAAAATAGTTTTTCCATTAGGTTTTAAACATATTAAACAATATTATGTTGGTTTGTATTGATGAACTAATACAGGATACTAATTTTCAACAGGACTGTCTACTGTACAAGCAAAAACTATGTACGTGCAGTACAGCATCGATATAAATCATTACTTATGAGAAAACCTTATGAAATCTACTTCAATATCAATTGATTTCTTTTTGTGAAATTTGTATGTATTGGAAAGATTATACCTGAGTTGGGCTATTACCTGCATCTTGACACCCCAATCAGCCGCTTTCTTGGTTACGTGCGCTCGCGTTGCGGACTTGTGCAAGCTGTATACTGCACTTTTAGAAAGGCTAAGAGCAACTCGGAGAAATTCCATATCAGTTCCCTGGTTGCGTTTGGTGCCAAATGGTGGGTTGAGAACGACAGTATCAAACATCTTTAAAAATCGTGAGTCTGGAGTTGCTAAATCTTTGATGTCCATTTGCACTATCTCAGCAGACTTAATCTCCATTTCTTCCAAATTTCTTTGACATATCTTGAGAGCATCATTATCGACATCAAAACTGAAAAAGAGAGAGTAATAAAGGATTTAAATATTCAGTATATAAGATGGAACTACTGTAGACTGCAAAGGAACAATTCAGAGTACATTTTAAATTTATATTAACCACTTGCAAAATTCACAGCAGGACAATATGAATGAACTTTTAAAATTGATAAAACATTGGTGGATGCAGCTAAATGTTGACAGCGAAGTAATTATCAAAAGGCAACACCAAGTCAGAAGGAAGATGTTGACAACTGTAAGGTTCTAAGCCTAGTTAATTTGCCACATATCGGCTGAACAACATCAAAACTTGCACATCTGAATGAAAAATTCTAGGAATCATGATTAGTTGGAATCTCGGTGTCAATAAATCAATGTATTTATAATGAAAATAAGGCAGAGTGTCTTGTTTCACAGTGTCTGTGAAACAGGACACGAAGGCAGAACAGCAAGCACTCTGGAACCCCCCTACCTAGCCCAAGGTCTGAAAAAAGTCAGGACTGAAAAAAGTGGAATCCTCGAGGGGTACAATTCTTTTATCCTGTCGTGGCGTAGTCGTTTAGAGCATCTGGGAATACCCAACACATAGGTTTGAATCCTCATCACAACTCCTGTGGATTTACTCATTAAATGCAATTGTACAATAAAAGACATTAGGTTTAGGTTAATAGGAATAATCTAAATACTTTACTTAACAAATACTAACCCAAAAACTGCTGATGCTTCCAACAGGGCACAGCCAATCATCAACACTCCGCAACCACATCCCAAATCTGCAACAACTTTTCCCTCTAAATCTCCAAATGAAGATTCTATTGTATGAATCATACGAGCAGCAATGTGAACGGGGGTTTCATATTGTTCCAGTTGTATTTTGGGAATTTCAAACCCATTAACATCTTGGAGCCATGCCTCTAATTCCTTCAATTTCATCATTTTCCAAATATAAAATTATTTACTGGTATTAATTAATTCGTTAAGATCGAATTAAACTTTTTCACTTAGGTTCTAATCGAGGCAAAACTGGTAATATAAAATTACCAAAGGATGAATCTTGAGGAATAAAATAACCAAAACTTGAGGAATTTGCCTGAAGCAAGTTCGATCTCTGACTATTGCCAGCAATGTGTCCGTCTGTGCCTGATGACCAACCCTGTGGAACAAAATAATATGGGAGTTTATTAACAGCAGAAATTGATATAAATTGCTGAGCATGTAAGTAAATAATGAGGCTGCACAAAAAAATCGAACCCTCACCTCTGGCACATGCACTATGAAGTGATCAGGAGCATGGATTTGATTCTATCGCATGGCCCCAATATCTATTCAGAGATTCATCACGTCACTGTTATTTTTGTTGTGCATTACCAGTAAAGCAATAGTACCACCCCACTCCAACTCACAGTAGGTTGCTGGGAAGTCGCTGGAGCATTGAGTGCCTGAGACACACCCTGTTTCAGAATCATCTGTTTCTTCAACTGCAAATCTTCTAGAATCTTACGCTGTGTGTTGCTATCTAGAAAAGATCAGAAATACAATTGTATTTTTCCACTTTTTTTTTTGTACAAATGAAAGGTACAAGAAAACACTCATTATGTGTTATATTATAAACATAATGACTGTTGTGTTGCAAGGCACAACACAAGGTTTTTGCTGGCATAGTTTTTATTCTTCAGCCTGCACTTGAGAATACAGATTAAGGCATTTTAGTCAGTCCCAATACTTTAGATGTTATACCGAGTAGATTCTAGCAGTAAAGGGTCTCTGAACGCTCTCCAGGTCAGCAATTTCTCCAGCTTTGAAAGTGGCTGTCATTGTGCAACAGTATTCCACTCTAGAGAGCACTAGCATCTTGAAAAGTGTCATCATTGGTATAGCATCTCTAGTTTGAAAGGTTCTTGTTAACCAACCTGTCATTTTTCCTGCAGTTGTGACGGCTATTTTATTGTATTCTTTAAAGGTAAGGTCTTTAACATGAGTACACCCAAATCCTTAACATTTCTTGTTCGTTCTAAGGTATGGTTTGACTGCGTTTTGAACGTGGTTTCCGTTTTTATTTTTTTTTATTTTTTTTTTCCGTAGCGCAGGGGCTGGAACGTATCTTCATTAAATACCACTTTTATTCTGTAGCCTATTTAAAAATCTGATTTACATCTGATTGGAAGTTTGCTGTGTCATCAATGTTGTCTACTCTCATAAAAATCCTAGTGTCATCTGCAAAGGATGATATGGTAATACAGGTTGTGTCCTTGTCTATGTCCGGTATGAGGATGAGAAAAAGTACTGGAGCAAGCACAGTACCCTGGGGAACTGAACTCTTCACAGTTCATGGTCCAGATTTTATTTTGTTGACTATTACACACTGGGTTCTATTACCTAGTGTGCAACAGAAATTGGAAATTGTAGATCCATCTGCCTATTTTTCTGGTAATTCTTTCTGAAAGCATTTTGTGTGCAATACCATCATGGTCACATTTATCAAAGGATTTTGCTAAATCTGTGTAAATTACATCATTGTTTTGTTTGCTTCCATGGCATCTAAGGCCATGTCATAGTGGTCCAGTAACTGTGATAAGCAAGAGCACCCTGTTCTAAAACCATGTTGTCCAGGGTTATGGAGATGCTGTGATTCCATATATTTTGTGATTCTTACTTCTGAGCACTCTCTCAAGGATTTTTATGATGTGTGATGTTAGTTTTATGATGTGCAAAATAACTAGAAATCTATGATAAATTATCCAAATACAGCAAAAAACCTCATGAGCCTGTATCCAAATACAGTTGATTCTAGTTCACTTATTATTGCACCCCCTGACCCATCCTGTGGGCTGTAGTGCAAAGAGTTACAAAGACATATAATGGGCTCAGGAACTGAACCCCAAAATTAATTTACCTAAGCAAGTTACAGTTTTGAACAGCTAGTTACAAAATTCAATCCACCGTCACATCACCAATGGACTTGAGACCCACCAAATACAGCAGCAACCTTCATGGGCATACATCCAAATATAGTGGTCTCACAATTAGGCGAGTGGCAAACTCAATAGGGCCTATATCCACATATAGCAACAATTACAGGATTGATTATTTAACACGTGTGGTACTTGCACAAGGGAACACGGGTGGAAGCTGAGTTCCCAAATGAGCCATAGAGACATTAGAAATAAATAGTTCTTTTTTAGTATAAAAGTATTTAATAAATGGAATGCACTAGGAAGCGATGTGGTGCAATTTGACTCCATACAGTTTCAAATATAGATATGATAAAGCTCGAGAAGCTCGGGAATCTGTACACCAGTAGATTGACAGTTGAGAGGCGGGACCAAAGAGCCAAAGCTCAACCCCCGCAAGCACAACTAGGCGAGTACAGTACCCCGTCTCCACCTCAGGAAGCTCACTCCAAAGTAATAATAACCAAACACAAGCATGTAATAACCAAAAAAACCCGCCCTGAATGTCTATAATGGTGTCGCCAAATGGAACATTAACCTTAAATCTCGCCAAACTAAAAAAAAAATAACTTCCATGAGAAAAACACGAGAATTTCATCCTGACCAACCTCTGTTGTTAGGTTGTGAAGCCATTATCCACTGTTAAACCAGGTAAACAGCCCTCTCACACACACCTTCCACTTAATACTGACTTTACATCAAACACAGATCATGGCAGGAGAGGATATTATATATTATTGTGTTGAGAGCCCCGGGAGGAGGAAGACAAGGCCGCCCAGTGTTGTGGTCGACGGTGTCAACACGTCGCTTATTATCCTTCTCCTCCAAGCTTCCCGTCTTCTTTCATTACTTCTGCCTACCTCAATTTTACCTCAATTCTAGTGGCCTCGACGAGGACAGGAAGCTTTCGGCTTGTCGAAGGTTCTTCCATTTACCTTGATGATCTTTTCCAGCTGTAATTTAAAAGTTAACAGAGTTTTGATATTTACGGCTTCGGCGGGTAGGCTGTTCCATGGGTTTATAATCCTGTGGGTAAAAAAGCATCTGTTCTTACATTTTTTTTTGTTTATTTATAAATATACAAGAGTTGTTATATTCTTGTATAGCCACTAGTACGCGTAGCGTTTCGGGCAAGTCCTTAATCCTATATTTCCCGGAATATCGACCCGCCAAATCATTCAACAACCAGGTATCCATTCACTGCTGGGTGAATAAAGGCTACAGTTAAGGATTGGCGCCCAGTCAATCCTCCCCGGCCAGGATACGAACCCATGACAAAGCGCTCGCGTGTTGCCAGATTGGGCTACAAATAGCGAATTGGGCTACTTTTGAGAGCCCCGCGCTCCCAAATTTTTAATTTCGCTACTTGCTACTTTTTGGGCTAATTTAAAAGCAAGATGTGCTAATTTGGGAACATTTAAAAATGTACAATTGCGAGTTACATGAAAGTAACTAAGCAATAAATAATTGTAATTAATAATAATTGTAAATATTAATTAATACTAAATAATATTATTTAATAAATTAGTCCCAATTCAATGCAGAGTTTTCTTCCAAGTACAGAAACTTGTAAATATAAATACAAGATAATAGATAGATCGATAAATAAATAGACAACTTTCACATATTGCACCAAGTAATGGCGAGAAGAAAAAAACTAGACAGTATACATTACATTTGAAATTAATAATGGATGAATGGTAATAAATTGGTGTATGTATGTATGTTTTTTTTTTTAATGACTGTTTGTCGACCTAATTGTATTTGTGCTGCTTTTTCAGCCATATTCCCCCCTTTTTATCTCTTTTTTATTTGTTCTCAACTCATTTTATTCTTTATGCTCAATTAGTATTAAGCTTTAGTCATTTAAGTTTTTCATGCCCGAAACGCTTTGCGTAATAGTGGCTTTAGGCATTGTATGTACTAGCCCTATCTATAAATCCATCACTCTTTGTAAAATCTCTTGTATGTATGTACCTTACCTAAATAAACATTTGATTTTTGATTTGATTTATACCAGACAAAGTCCATTTAATGGCAGAATTTAGCCATTTTGTGCAAAAACTTTTACATCTCATGTTATTAATTATAACAGTAATCGAAAAAAGTCATAGTTTGTATATACAAGAAATGAAACAGCGAGTCATGAGCTAGAGCGATGTGCTGAGTCCATAAGGAGGCCGAGCTTCTAGAAATACCTTCCTGTGATTGGCTGTTGCGGGGAATACCAACATTCTTTTATGAATAAAATTTAAACTAAGAAATAGGTCCTTGTGCACAACAACAAGGTTGTTGTGAAAAAGAACAACAATTTCTGTTTTGCACCTGACAGAAATCTCCATCTAACTGAATAATTTACTCGAATAAGAGGGCAGAGCAGAGTATCATTATTTGTGTCAAGGCAACCCCCAATAATAACGTCCCAAGTTAGGTAGCCAGCCCATGTTTCTGTAACACCCATTACATCGTGCAGTATTTAATTATCACTATATTAATACTTTTAAATACTTAATATTTCACTTTTTAGGTAGATTAAAGTTGAAGCAGAATGTCATAAGCAAGGATGGTGTGCTGAATAAAGATGATTTATTAAGTGGATGGAGCCTTTAGCTGATCCCTTCCTGTGATTGGCTGTTGTGTGAATGTCAACAAAGAGTTTCTACCAATGAGATGCCATTTATTATGCACCCCATACCATCTGTGGGCGGAGCTTGGAACCTCCTACCCGAGCACAACAACCCACCTTATGGGTTGCTGTTTGGCTATTTATAGTGCGTTGGAAAAGCAACAGATGGCGTTAGTGGTATTTTGTGGGGTAATTTGTTATAAGTGTAATTTGGTGTCAACAGATGGCGTAAGCTGTATCTTATGGCCATTATTGACCAGCCAGTTGATAGTGTTCTCTTCTGCCGACAGATGGCATCAGCTGTATCATTATTACTTCCGAATTCCCTTTAAACACTGATCTACAAATCCCTTGGCTTATGATAAGGTTTTATACCATTTATGAAAAGTATTAGATAACTGGAGTTACGCAATTACTTTTATTTATAAATTGTTCAGGATATCATCATATCACGTTTGGTTAGGACGTACTGCTCTCGATTGATGAAGATTAAGCCACCCAAGAGGTGGCACGGGCATGAATAGCCCGTAAATACTGCTCTTGTAATATTATTCAGGGGGGTGGGGGAACTATCAAGTGAAAGCGCCAAGCCATTACGACTATATAGCACTCGGAAGGGATCAGGATACGGATTTGGGATGGAACGGGGGAAAGGAATGGTGCCCAACCTCTTGGGCGCACCATCTGGTCACCATTTGGTCCGGGAGACATCTCCCGTCACGTAGGGTGCAGTCGCACCTCCACAGATCTCCAGTATCAGCTTTTGATACTGGTAATGGCTTAAAAGGGCCGCCACTTACGGGCTATTCATGCCCGTGCCATCTTTTGGGTGGCTTAATCTTCATCAATCAATCAATCTCTTGGGCGGTCGGGGATTGAACGCGGACCTGTAGGAAACGAGACCGTCGCTCTACCGTATGTACCTCTTAATATATGTTATGTACTCTCGCAACCCAATGTACCTTCTTGTATATAAATAAATAGATTTCAACTGTAAGGGGGTATGGTTTGCACCTTGTTATTCTAATAATGGATAAATAATTCTAATAATGGAAGCGCTAATTATATGAACAAGTGCCATGTATTTATTCAGATGATAACTACAGCGAACACAAACCAGCGCATATACGAACGGAATGGTTTGTATGTACAAACTTCTCAGTGAACGAAGTTGTTTCTAGCCCGGTATCCGAAATTGCAGTATACGACTTGACCAGTCCCCGTTTTCTTTACTTCCTTGAGGCACTTGTAGTCACTTCCTTAAGATTTTAACTTGTTTAGCTAAATGAATTGTGGGGTTCAGTCCCTGAGCCCATTATGTGCCTCTGTAACCCTTTCCACTACCGCCCACAAGATGGGTATGGGGTGCATAATAAATGAACTAAACTAACTCCTTAAGTCAAAGGTACGCTTGTTCCAAGGGTTTGTTCAAAGGTACGCTTGTTCCAAGGGTTTGTTCAAAGGTACGCTTGTTCCAAGGGTTTGTTCAAAGGTACGCTTGTTCCAAGGGTTTGTTCAAAGGTACGCTTGTTCCTAGGGTTTGTTCAAAGGTACGCTTGTTCCTAGGGTTTGTTCAAAGGTACGCTTGTTCCTAGGGTTTGTTCAAAGGTATGCTTGTTCCAAGGGTTTGTTCCTAGGGTTTGTTCAAAGGTATGCTTGTTCCTAGGGTTTGTTCAAAGGTATGCTTGTTCCTAGGGTTTGTTCAAAGGTACGCTTGTTCCAAGGGTTTGTTCCTAGGGTTTGTTCAAAGGTATGCTTGTTCAAAGGTATGCTTGTTCCTAGGGTTTGTTCAAAGGTACGCTTGTTCCAAGGGTTTGTTCAAAGGTACGCTTGTTCCAAGGGTTTGTTCAAAGGTACGCTTGTTCCTAGGGTTTGTTCAAAGGTACGCTTGTTCCTAGGGTTTGTTCAAAGGTATGCTTGTTCCTAGGGTTTGTTCAAAGGTATGCTTGTTCCTAGGGTTTGTTCAAAGGTACGCTTGTCCCAAGGGTTTGTTCAAAGGTACGCTTGTTCCTAGGGTTTGTTCAAAGGTACGCTTGTTCCTAGGGTTTGTTCAAAGGTATGCTTGTTCCTAGGGTTTGTTCAAAGGTACGCTTGTTCCAAGGGTTTGTTCAAAGGTACGCTTGTTCCTAGGGTTTGTTCAAAGGTATGCTTGTTCCTAGGGTTTGTTCAAAGGTACACTTGTTCCTAGGGTTTGTTCAAAGGTACGCTTGTTCCTAGGGTTTGTTCAAAGGTACGCTTGTTCCTAGGGTTTGTTCAAAGGTATGCTTGTTCCTAGGGTTTGTTCAAAGGTACGCTTGTTCCAAGGGTTTGTTCAAAGGTACGCTTGTTCCTAGGGTTTGTTCAAAGGTATGCTTGTTCCTAGGGTTTGTTCAAAGGTACGCTTGTTCCTAGGGTTTGTTCAAAGGTACGCTTGTTCCTAGGGTTTGTTCAAAGGTATGCTTGTTCCTAGGGTTTGTTCAAAGGTACGCTTGTTCCTAGGGTTTGTTCAAAGGTACGCTTGTTCCTAGGGTTTGTTCAAAGGTACGCTTGTTCCTAGGGTTTGTTTGTTCATAATTATGCTTATTCCTAGGGTTTGGTTAGCATTTTTTTACTGCCACTCCCACTTGTTGTGCAACTTTTAGTGAATGATGGATTTTGACTCCATGGTCCTTTTTCTTCATCAATCTGCAGTAATGTAATGTTATTACTTTGGTAGTTGTGGAGTGGGTTGTTATGCCCCACATGCAGTCTTGCGTTTTCAATATAAAAAAATTGCCAGTCTCTGACCATTTGTGGAGTTATGTAATTTATTTGTAAGGCTTTAATATCATTTTCATTTCCCACTCTATCATAGATCTTAGTGTCATCTGTAAATTTAATGATGTGGTTTGTAATATTCTCATCTCTCATTGATATACTGTATATGACAAAAAGGGTTGACCTCAAAATAGATCTCTGTCGTACCCCACTCAGCACATTTATCTAGTCTGATTCATTCACATATAATAAAACTCTCTGCTTTCTTTATTTTAACCATTGTAGTATTCTAACATTTATTCCATGTGCCTGTAATTTTTTTGCCAGTCTATCATGTGGTACCTTATCAAAAGCTTAAGCAAAATCCATGTACAGACTGTATACTACATCCACTGGACGTCCTTTGTCTGAGTAGCTGGTTACCGTTTCCAAAAGAATGTGAGCTGGTTAGAAAGACAGGATCTATTTTTAACATAGCCATGTTGAGGCAATTTTATGTATTTAAATATACAGTATTGTATGTTTATACTGAAACATTCATAATTGATAAAAGTATACATCTTTATTTGTAAAAATGTGCAATACATAAAATGAGTTGGCAAAAGTATAATGGGTCTCGCTAATGAAGGGTCAACTAAATTGGGAAAGGTGCTGTATGTGAAAAATGATTGGGTCACCTGAGGTAATCGAAATAGTTGCAGGAAATAGATACTGTACAATGAAAACAATGTGCAACAAAGAAATAATTCACATTGTTGGAGACCGGGAAGCCTGTACTTAGACTTTACCTCTGTCCCAACCCGTTCTCTCAACTAATACAACATTAAGTAACCAATGTTCTACATGTAACGTGCTATGAAAAGTAGCACCTCGCAAAACCCTATTTTCTGTGAATCAGTTGGTTAGGTTAGGTGGGTTTGTGCATTTTTAGTTTCGTTGGGATGTTGGGTTTTGTACATTGTGGTGAATTGAGAGAATGGACTGAATGTCTCCTTACAATAATACTGTATTAATTTTATTTAAACAAACATACAAAAGAATAATCCATTGCTTTTAAGAGAGCAATAGTGATTTTTGCAACCATTATAAACCAAATTACAGTTAGCATTTTTGGCAAGCCTTAATATTAAGACATCAAGAGGAAAATGCAACAATAATAATTATGAGTTAAAAGTTTAAATAACCTAAAACTAGTGCATACACTTTACGGAATGAATATCGATTATAATAACAGAATAAATTTAAATTGTAGTTTTGTATGCATTAGTAATAATTCATTAAGATTATCAAATCAAATCAAATCAAATGTTTCTAATTACTGTTTCTGATTACTGTTCTGTGTAAACTTTACAAACTCTCATTAATACTCTGTAAAAAATTATAGCAAAACCTATGATTTGCAATTCACTATTGTAATAATAATTCATCAAATATCAATGAAAGTTTGTAAAGTTTTATAAAGTACTGTACATAAACTCTTAATTACTTAATGTTAGTAATTATTTAAATTTTGCTATAGAAAACAATAAACAGGATATTTAATTAAGGTTCCTGTGGCTCCTTAGTGTTTACTGCCATGCAAGATCCACCCAATTCAGTCCATGCAAGGCCCTTGCGAGTCATATATAAGCCTACCGGGAACCACAGGCTAAAACCTTGCTGCCCCTCTAAAGAAGCACAAAGAGCAGGGGGGATCGTAGATCACGAACCAAGAAAAGGCCACCAGATAGCCCCAAGAACTCTTTAAAATTGGGTTGTTCCCAGATGCCTCGGGTCTGGGTTGAGGTATTGTGCCACACTCGCTTTGCCTCCCAGGGTTGTTGGTTGGGTTCACACCCTGTGCTCAGTGTTAAAGATGTGGGATGATTCTTTGTGGTAGGTCCTTCAGGGTTGAGGGTGGGATGGTTCCTCTTCCTCCAGTTCTACTCTGATGGCTCCCAGTAGTTCTTTCTCTGCACTGCTGGGGGATCACTTCGGTCTTTCTTCCCTTTTGGGGCTGGGCTCTTCGTGTGGCTTGAGATTCTGATACTTCATGTACTTTCATGATACTTCATTGTTTTACCTGCTTTTCTGGTGACTTTCCTGGTGGTGATCATAACAATCCTCTGCCTTTGTGAAGGGGTGTGGTTCTGGCTCCAGGTTCTCGGTAGGTCAACAAAACTCTGAAGACTGATGTGACTATGTATGGCAAGTTATCTCGGCGAGTTAGTGTCAGGGAGCCACCAAGAGGCTCCCCCAGGAAAGGGGCATTTCACTACATTCAATATTCTATTTACATTTCAAGTTATGTCCTCTTATGGGGCATAAGAGTCTTGTTCTTGCTCCCATCTCTTTAAAATTCCTTTTTTTTTATTTACCTTACCACAGCTCTAAGTATCTTATATTGTGTGACCATATTCTCTCTGCATTATGTTCTCCAGTGTTGTTAGCACACCTTGTATAATGACACACATGTAATTTGGACAATTTATATACTCTATTTAAATAAATTCACTTTAGGGTCATACTAAAATTTTGTTGAGTTTTTTTTTTTTTATTAATTTATATTTTGAATGCAGATTTTCTTATTTCTTCCTTTAAGCTAGGGTTGTGGAAAACCATCAAGACTCTACATTTCAACACCACTTATTAATGTGTGCAGCATAATGGTTAGAGTATTAGTAAAACATATGCTTGCACCCTGGGCATAACCTATGCCTATCTTTTAGTTCTCGTTATTATAGTTCTAGGATATACAGAGGGTAATATTCCTGTTTATCATATTTAACGAATATTTTTGGGGAACTCGTGCTGTCTACTGTTGTATCATACAATTCGTTAGTGGCAGGATTTATTGGTGGACGAGTCATGGATGCATTTCCTTTGGTCACTTTCCCAACTATTACTTCAGCCAGCAGCAGAACTTTATGGCCAAAAATGTTGGATTGAGAATATTTCATAGAAAACGCAGCACTGTGGAAGAAAAATTAAGAATTCAACAATATATTTTTTTATTAATTGTTATTAATTTTATTCTATTTTGCTGTCATTGGAACACTTATTCTGCACATATCTTTTAAAAAATGTAAGAAATCTCAATTTAAGAAAAACTAAAATTTACTCAAGTCTTTCACTAACTAAAAGGTTGAATTAAGACATCTAAGTAATTGTAATCTTTGATGAATTATTAAATCTTCTATTGGGATCTTAACTCTTTCAAAGCCAGTGAACAAAAACAGCATTTGTATTGTGTACAGAAAATTTCAAAACATAAACAAAGGCTAAGCATTTAAATGAAAAGCACCTTTCTGAGTAGGTAATTTGGTTGCTCCCTAAGGAAAGATTCCAGTCTCAGCTGTACCCTTAACATGTAGTCATTGTCATTTGTTGATCACCATGGCTACTGCTGTAAGGGTTGGACCTATAACAGTGTAAAGGCATGTATACCAGTAAAAGCTAGTTGTATTGAGTGAAAAGTGAGAAAACCTTTCATGGGTATAAGGTAGAAATTTTTAAAGTCATACAAAAAAAGCTAAATGGATGCTTAGCTCATCTATTTGTTGGTCAAAAGATGCATTCTCACAAGAGGAAAATTAAAGAAATATAGGGTCTTAATTGAGCACAACCCTGCCTGGCATGTCCAACCCTCACACTGTCCAATCACTCTGTACATAATAGTACCAACAATAAGGAATTGTTAGTACTGTACATAATAAAGCAGCAGACACCTGATGTCCTCCCCCCCCCCCAACAAGGAAAGAAGCCCCTGACCAGACAGGGGCAATGACAAGTAGAGAAGAAATATGGTGAAGAAACATACGACTTAATAATGGTCCCAGACAGACCGAAACATCAATGTTTCTTCATCTTCTGGTGTACGGTTTGGTCATCAAGTAGAGAAGAAACTCGGTAGTCACAAGCAGTCGAGGCAAACAATACTCAAGGTTTACACAAGAGCCATGGAGGGAAGCCTTCTCAGAAACCCCTAATAGTATTTATTAGGTAATGGAATATTACAGACGTTCATGCAATACAGTATAGCAAAAAGGTTTTAATCATATGGTTGTCGAGCTAACATGGCAGTTTGCTTGAGGACTGCATACAGTGAGAGGAGCCAGGACCCATGCTGGACTACTGCAGTTTTAGCTAGTACAAAAGCCTCAAAAGTGTCCCTGGGTACCACACATGAAGGCTCTTGCTACCATGTATCATATTAAATCACACACACAAAAAAAATACAATGATCAGGCATATCACTAATAACTAAGTTTTTCTAAAAAAAAAGTGCTATAATTTGAAATTATTAATACAAATTTGTCCAATATTTTGTGGGGGCACAAAATAGGAGTTACCTTAAACTCTTCTACTGGTGATGTGAAAATATTGGCATACAGGAAATAAACTAATCAAAACAACATACAGAAACTCACCTGTTTGAGAAGTAGGTCCCTCTGCCATATAACTGTCCAACATTTGAGCCATGCAGCCTCCAATCAAAATTTTCCCGGCTGATATTATCTACATATTCAGATTTTGTCCCGTGGAAGAGTTTTTGAACATTTATTTTTCCTTTCTCACCGTATTTAAGAGACAATTCATCTTGCTTATTTTGAAAAGGTCGCCACAAAAAGGGGTTCTGAATCCTCTTGATTGCTGTCGGTCGAGCAGAAGGCAAGGTAGCTAGTAACAGAGTCATAACATCACGATATTCTTGGCTAGATGTGTCCAATGTTATCTGCACCATGGTGTCAGTATCCTTCATGACACTCCAAGAAGAGGGCAAATTGTCCTTCTTGCTCTTTGGATTAATTTTTGTGCTTTGCTTTTTTACAGGTCTTCTTCGTATTAATCTTACCTTACCAGTGCTCAAATTTGTCTGCTTCATCCCAATAAAATCTAACTGATATTGAAATTTTGAGTTATTGAAAGTCATTGGGGAAGAGGGATTTGTAACAAAGCACAGCTCAATCTCATGTGACTTTACACTAGAAATCAGATGAGTGTGGCCACAACTGTCAGCTTCACCATATTTGATCCACTTGTTGTTTTCGTCCTGAAAGAACCATTCATACACAGTTGCCTTTGCACTCTTTGACGTGGCTGCTGATTGTGTCGACAATCTACGAATATCCATCATAACTACTGGAGAACCAACTTTTGTCACGCTTCTTAACTTCATAGTTTCTAAATCTGCTTCCCACTGCTGAGTTCCAAGAATCTTTAACATTCCAGTACCACTGTTCCCCAACATTATGGGGTTCAGAAGGGATAGTCTTACAGAATCCTTTGTCACATCCTCAAAGGCATCCTCAATTTCTTTTGAGTGAAAATTGCGTAAATTATACCAACTGGAATCATGCAGTACCTGCCACTGACTCGTACATTTGGCATGAAGTCTGAGGCATCCACTTTCTTCATGCATACAGCGTTTGTCAATAGAGTAAACACAAATCTCTGGGATTTCTACATTTCCTTGATGATAATAAGACCAACAGGTGGTTTGTTGACCTGGAGGCTTCTGATCTTGTTTCCTTCCTGGTGGATGTGGAGTCTTTTTCCCTCTACCTTGACTGTGTTGCTGGCATGACTTAGCTGGTTTATTATTATTATGCAAACCTCTGGTTCTTCCACTGTCCCTTGAATTATCATGGTGATTTTGATCTATGCCAAAGTTCAAATCCTAAAAATATAAGAAATATGACTCATTACTACCTGAAAAGTTTATTAATTAAATATCATAGCATACATGACAAATAACATCAATTAGATATTAATTGCATCAGTGAGATTTATACCTATACTGTAGGGACACTTAATGGCTTATTGATGAACCATTAACTTGCTGTTTTGGAAAAAAAATCCAAAATTTATTTTCAATTAGTTTTCATTTTCAAATTACGTCCATTATCAGCCATACAGGCAAACAGCCAAATTCAGACATAATTTGTAAAAGGACAGGTTGGTCACTCATGCAGTTACTGATCAGACCCACTGGTACTTAACCTTTGAACTGCATGCCTGTTATTCAAATAAAATAAAAATTTTATTCAAAAGAATGTGTGTACAAAGAACACAAGAGTAATGTACAATTGTGGGGACAGGAATTACACACACTAATGAAGCCACTATTATACAAAGCATTTTGGGCAAAACCTTAACAACTCCATGGTGCGCAGAATAACATAAACTCAAGCACATTTGTTTTCCTTTTAATGTTGTTAAAATACGTTTCCTGATCACGTGAAAAATAACAAAATTATATGTGACATTCTTTGTGATGGAGCGAGGAATTCTGGCAATTTATGGGCCATTATTTTGGCCCATAAATTGGCCCATTATTACGGGCCAATTATTATGGACCGAGGACTTCCCCCAGCAATCTGCCCAGGCTCTGCCATATGGCGAGAATTGCTGCAAAGATATTTTTATTTATGTACTGTACTGTATTTCAATATTAATATTATTAATGATACATTATATTCTTAGAACAATAAAATGTGTTTTTGATGTTAAAACATATACACTACTTACATATACAGTACTGTATACCAATCTATATTTTCATGCACCATTACAAACCACTAAATGTTTCTGACAAGTGTAATAATCCTATAATCAGTTATCAGAGTTCAGCCTAGTCTTGCATTTTTTGTAATAAGTTCTAAAAGCATGCACTGAATATATAACATGTATTTTAAATGTATTTAATGTTTTTTTTTTTTCAAGAGCAATGTTGTATTGGGCTGTCAATAATATTTTCTGTTATAGAACATTTAGAATATTGATACACAAGAAATATATTCGGTTCACTAATATGAGTTAAATATTAAATTCTTTATAATAACTTGCAAGGGCATTGGCATTCATTGAATTGGTTGAGACTATTGTGATAGCTAGCAGCAAGGAGCCACCTCCCAGGCACCACTGATTTGGTAAGCTAAAGTATTTTTATTTAATTTTTCTAGTTATGTATACATGATATCGCGACCCTGTCAAACAAGATTCACGTCATCAAACAATAAATGATGTAACTAGAAAAGTCACGTCATCTATTCACTCTTCGGGTCAACGTGGGCATGTTTCTTCACACTAAAGCCTTTGTTCACCTGGTAGTAAATGTATATAGGAAGTTCGCTAACTACTGTGGGCTGCATTCTGAGGAAATTCGGTTGTTGGCTCACCCCATCCTCTCGAGCATTCCCAACATCACTAAACTGATGTACGTACTAAATTGGGGGCGTTAAATAGTTTTCTGATGCATTCTTTAAACTACTTAATTAACATAGTCTAAATTATTCAATGAGATTATTATTATTATTATTATTATTATTATTATTATTTGTATTATTATTATTGTGCCCTGTAGATTTATTTGTCTAAAGTGAACAGAAACAATTAATAAATAATATTAACATAAAAGTTTAATCCAACACTTACTCTAATATTTTTGTCCTTTTGTCTTCTCTTGGTATTATTCATCTTCCTTCAAGACTCTGAAAATTTGAAAAATTATATGTATGACATGATTTGCTACAGCAAACTTCCAAAAAGCAAAAGCAGGTTTATATATACAATATATATAGACACTGTTGCTTGTGGGGCCACGTGAGCAACATTTGTGTTGCTCACGTGGCCCCACAAAGTGAGGTGATTCGATGAAATATCTATTCCCAAGCTTATCACCAAGTGTTGTCGGGATGTTGGGAAAATAGCCTCGGCTACCAATGTCTTCTGAACAGTCACGGTGGTCGAGTGGTTAAGGAACCAGGTACGCCATGTGCATAGTGCTCCTGGCTGTCTGGGTTCGAATCCTTCTGGGGTGTGGGGTTTTCAGTTGCATATATGCTTGGGGGACCATTCAAGCTTGTCATATATATATATATATATATATATATATATATATATATATATATATATATATAGCCGAGGCTATTTCACCCCAGAAGTGACTCGAACCCATACTCCCAGATGCCACGCAACTGGTATGTACAAGACGCCTTAATCCACTTGACCATCACGACCGGACATAATGAGGTGATAGCCGAGGCTATTTGAACCACCCCACCGCCGGCACTCGGATAGTAATCTTGGGCATAGCATTTTACCAAATCACCTCATTCTTTGGGGCACACGTGAGGAACACAAATGCGAACAAGCCTGAATGGTCCCCAGGACAATATGCAACTGAAAACTCACACCCCAGAAGTGACTCGAACCCATACTCCCAGATGCCACGCAACTGGTATGTACAAGACGCCTTAATCCACTTGACCATCACGACCGGACATAATGAGGTGATAGCCGAGGCTATTTGAACCACCCCACCGCCGGCACTCGGATAGTAATCTTGGGCATAGCATTTTACCAAATCACCTCATTCTTTGGGGCACACGTGAGGAACACAAATGCGAACAAGCCTGAATGGTCCCCA